ATTCGCGGCATGTCAATGAAAGGAAGCAAAGCAACACCTTGCCAAGCAAACTTTTTGCCATTGAGGTCAATCTCGAACTCTTGGGGGTAGAAGTCTATGACTTCGCTGTCCTCGTTGAGCATGAGATCATGAAAGACCTCTGGAAGTGCACGGCGAGATGCAGCTGGCATAACACTCATGAGTTGTTCAAAAGGCTTCGAGATTCGCCCCTTCTCGAAGCTAATCTCGATCTTGTCCAAGTCGGCAAAATCAGCCGCGAATGGCGCATAGTGGTAGGGATAGTACCAATCCCAAGACGGGCAGCCTTGATAGTAATAGAGAAGCACCCAGCAAAGCCCCTCAACATAGGCTTGTGCGACCTTATGACGAAAGGCGATGTCATTACGATCGACGTGGAACTTTTGCTCATAGTAGCGGTCTGCGTAACCTTCTTCCCACATTCGAACGTGATCTATCGCAGCCTCTTCCGCGGCGGACGGTCCGGTATTGGGTGTTAATTGCGATGGGCCGTCCAGAACATCCGCCTTGCGTTTCACAACAGAGCTTGCTGCGGCTGCACCTTCTTCGGCTACAGCAGGTACTTCGACTTTTGGATGGGTTGTTGCGTCACCATTTGCCGATTTGCCCTGGGCTCCCGATGCTTGGATTCGATCCCTGATGACATTGGCGGCGCTTTTGTTGGCGGCATTCGCGTTGATGTTGGCGTTCGACGAGCGCCCAACAACCATGTCATGTGTCACAGCGCTGGGGTCAGCATTGGGGAAGCCAGAGACAGGAAACAAGGCCAGCCCGGAGGATGCGTTGTCCATAGGTGGTTTGCCGCGCCCGCGCCCGCTGGCGTCGGCACGGCCTCCTCTGCCACTCCGCTCGTCCTGCAGCTTTCTCCGCTTGGCGTTGGCTTCTCGGCGATCTTCCTGCTCTTTTCTCCGCTTGAAAATGGCGTCCTCCTGCTTCGCCAAGCCGTCCATGATGAGCTGTACCCTCTTCAGATCGATGTGGCCGTCCTTGGTAACGTAGCCACCCATATGAGGCAGATTTTCTTTCCAGATGGTCGTTAATGCGTCTATACCATTCTCTCGGATCTCTAGGGCCGGCAGATGTGGTAAAAAGTCATTGCCCACGAAGCAGCACATGAATACCCAGTCATCTATTGCGCGCTCGAGATCGAATCGAAACGGCAAGTCAGGTACATCAAGCTCAATAGCGAGGTACTCTCGAAATATGGATACGTGAAGCCATATGAAAGGCTTCAAGGCTACAGCCTTGTCTTGCTCGTCATATTCGCCGTCTTTGTCTTTGGCCTCGCCTTTGCAAACGCGCGCATCGTGTCCTTTTTGACCGCATATTTTGCACATCTTGGCCTTGGCATCTTGTGCGAAAACATCCTCTCGCAGTACGCGGAAATGTGGCTCATGGGTAGCAAGACCCAGCATGATCAGGTCGGCGTCCAGGCCATAGATGACATGCCGGGTATTGGGGTCGTAGTCTGGCGAGCCTCTTTGAGAGCGGACGTAGTTCATGATCTTGTGCTCTCCTTCGCCTGGAACTGTAGCGTCGGAGATGATGATTTTGAGTCGAGCCCAAGCAGGATCAGTATTAAGCTTGTATGCGCACCAATAACGCAGACTGGTTGCAAGTGTATCCATGAAGGGTGTGCCAGGTGTGATCGAGTTTGAATCAAAAGCCTTCTTGTTCATGCTTTCAAGGGTCTCAGGTGGCAAAATGCCACCATTTTGTTGTTTGAGAAGCTTGAGAAGCTCCTGCTTGTCAACCTCTTTCTCTTGGGCTTCTTGTGCAGAGCGAAATCGGCGCGATCGCTGTTGGTTCATCTTTGCTCGTGGCGCAACACCGTCTGAATTATTGTCAGTTCTGTAAATATCTGGATCGTGGCGGTTATGAGTGCCTTGATGACTTACCAACAGCGATCATGAGTAGTTTCCGTGGCCTGACCATGTTCACTACTCGATCGGTGTACTTGAAAACCTCGAGCATCATCTCCTCCTCATCCTTGGGGGCAGGGCGATCCTCTGGATGCGAGCAAGGGTGAACGATACCGTTCATGTCAAGGTAGAGATTGTCCTGTTCTTCTCCATTTGGATTGGGACCGGTGGTCTCTACCGGAATGGTCGTCCCGTCTTCCATTTGTAGCGGCTGATCCTCCACTACAGGCGAGATGATTTTCGGGTACTTGTTCGATAGCCATCTGAACGCAGCTGGAATGCCCATTGTGACGGTGTAGTCGCGCGAGTCGCTGAGACCTCTGGTTGAGAGTGAATGTACGTGGGCGACGTCGGGATATAATCTCTGGTGACGGGAAAGCTTCTGTTAATTTTATCGACGTAGTCTTGCCGCGTACTGCGAGGTGGGTGCGGCGCCGCGTGTGTGGAATTGCTGTCGCGAGCGGCGTGATAGTCTTGCAAGACGAGAACGAGGACCTGGAAGAAGTGGAGTGTAATCGCACGGCAACCTTTCGTCGTCCGAATCAAATTGATGACTGCCTCTGCAGTCCTAAACAGCTTTTCGTAGTCACGCGTGCCATTTGCGCTAGAGGTTTGGCTGTTGGTCGCATTGGGATACCTACGAGTGAGATAAGATTATGCTTAGTAATATGGGATCTCGAGCACTGACAAGACACAGTTGGCAGCATACCTAAATCGCTAAGTGTATATAATGTATGTACATAGGTAGCCACGCTGCACATGGAACCTTGCTCAGAAGGCTTGTAAGTGGTCATAGCACCTTTGCTGCAGAAAAAAACTAGAACGCGCAGGTAAGAGAGGCACCGTGATACCTAAGGGAGGTATCGATAGGTAGATAAGTGCCCACCTCGATCAAACTTAAACAAGATTCAACTGACCAGACGCCCCGTTAATGCGATGAGAATCCATGCCCAGCTCGAACACGTAGCATGGGATTTGTAATGCATGATTTGATCAACTGGGGTTGCGAAGCAACCTAAATGTGGGATACCCTATCGAGTAGACGCGAACTGCTGGCTCCCGATCGTGACATTGTGCCTTGGAGCAAGGTAGGTAGACAAGTAGGTAAGTTCGCTCCACTCCAATATTCTCTAAATACCACCTGTCGTGCGCCAAGTTGTTTTCCCAGAGCTACGGAGCTTTGCCATTGCGCTAGCTGTTCAATGTTTATAGATGAACCCTACGAAGTCGAGTCCAGGCCTAGGCGGCACGTTGCATATTGACAACTTGCTAATTTGTTTGGCACCAGCCCGGGTCGCAAACCTACGGTCACCGAGCGTTGCCATAAACGTGAACACAGTCATCTGTCTGGAACGACTGATTCTCTCGAGGGGCCTGCACGATCTCGATTCATCTGCATGGAATGGTAGTAACCCAGCCCTCATCGATTCTCGCGACTCTAGACCGCAACGCGCCATTCACGCCGCCAAAGTCGCGTTGACGAGGAAAGCAACAAGGGGTGCAAAGGCACAAGAGACATCATGTTCTCCTCTATTTCAACAGCTCCGGCGAAACAGTCGGTTAGCGATACCATATCCGTCCTAAGTGGTCGCCTGAGCTCAGCAACATTGTTGGAAGATCGACGTGCAGCCATTCTTGGTCTTCGTAGCTTTGCCAAAGATTTTCCCGCCACAGTTGCCTCAGGGGCGCTTCGAAGCTTGATTGGCAGTCTGAGTAACGACGGGGAAGATGTTGATACAGTCAAGGTCGTGTTGGAAACACTGCTGATGCTGTTCAGTCCCAACCAAGACAGCCCAGAAGCTTCCGATGAGATCGTTCTCTGGCTAGCAGACGAGTTCACGCAACGCCAGGATAACATCACTCTTTTGCTTGATTTCCTCGAAGGAGCAGACTTCTACTCCCGACTGTATTCTCTGCAGCTTCTGACGGCAATCTTGGCAGCTCGTGCAGAGAGGACCGAAGAGTGCGTCCTAATAGCACCACTGGGAATCTCTCGCCTCGTAGCCGTTCTCGATGACCAGCGCGATGCCATTAGGAACGAAGCTATCACTCTCTTGACATTTCTTACCCCCTCATCGGCGGACATACAGAAGCTAGTTGCTTTCGAGAACGCATTTGACAGGTTATTCTCTATTATAGCACTGGATGGATCATTGGCTGATGGAGGTCGAGTTGTCGAGGATTGCCTAATCCTCTTGGCAAATCTATTGCGGGCGAACGCATCGAACCAGTCCCTTTTTCGCGAATCTGGTGGAGTCAAAAATCTGGCCACCTTGCTGCAAGGTGTCTTACAAGGACAAGCAGCTGTGGCTGATGATGTCGCAGGGTGGGTTCAAGCACAACGGGGTCGTAACATTTATGCCCTTCTTGCCGTGGTTCGCCTCCTACTTGTACATGGTGCTGTTGGCACTGCCCAAAACCAGTTGGCATTATGGCAACATGGCTTGCTTTACCACGCCCTTCGTCTTTCTTTCAGTGCCGCGGTACAGACGCCAGTCAAAGCCGAGGTTCGTTTCCCCACATACATGCCGACTTGTTTAGGCCGTTCGTTGATCTATTGCGTAGGCGCTTGTGACATGTGCCGACATCATCAAGGGCAATACGACTCTACAGGAGAGCTTCGCACAACTGCAAGTCCCCTCTCCCCTTTCTCAACCCAGCTCAGGGGCGAGAGACGGGGGTGGCCCGGATAACGATCCCGAAGTATATGTCATTGACGGACTACTTGATCTGACCCTCGCAGTCTCGGCCAATGACATGTTTGACGTGCGAATTGCAGCCTGTGACTGCCTCAAAGCCTACTTCTTTGATCACGCAGAGATACGCCTTCACTTCCTCAAACGAGCAATTGAAGGCTACAAAACGGGCCTTGACGAGACAGCTAATGTGCTCGCTGTCCTGCTTCGGCCCTACAACGACGACGCCATTGTCAATCCTTACCGCCCCTGGTTTGCTGCCATAATCACCTTCCATCTTCTCTTCAACAACCCTGAAGCAAAAAGTCTTGCCATGGCAGTTACTGAGGGTGATGCAGAAGATGGCGAAGAAATAGTCACTAGTATTCAGTCTGTTGCTGCTCATCTCCTTTCCGGGCTCGGTCGCGAACAGGACAGCCGGGTTGCGACTGGATATTTGATCCTCCTTCTCGGTTGGATGTTTGAGGACCTGGAGGCTGTCAACGACTTTCTGGCCGAAGGCAGTAATATACAAGGCCTGATACAGGTAGCCGTCCGGCCTGGCCAGCTGACGAAATCATTCAAGGACTGTGTGCCATGATTCTGGGTGAAATTTATGAGTTCTCGACCAAGGACTCCCTATTCCCCAGAGCTAGCCTTCACGCAATCCTACTCTCTCGGCTGGGAAAGGAAAAGTTCATTGACAGACTTAGCAGGTTGCGGACCAACCCATTGATGCGCGACTTTGAAGTGCTCCCTCAGAAGCTTGATCCATCCTCTCCGGGTCGACTGCCTGAAGTGTTCTTTGATATCACTTTTGTGGACTTCTTCAAAGATAACTACAGTCGGATATTGCGGGCCATTGATCGAGATCCTGGCTTGGAAATTCCCGTATCAGCAAATGGAGTGCAACAAGGCATTTCGCGAGATCTGGTGGACTCCCTACGCGCCCAGCTAGGAGAGAAAAGCAAAGCGCTTGATGAGTTACATATGGCCTCCACTACTCTTGAGAGGCAGCTCGGGCAAGAACAGGCAGACCATCGGAAGAGTCGAGAAAATGCAGCCGTTGATATTGCCAAGGTCAATGCCGCGGTTGATGCCGTTCGGCGAGACCATGCTGCTGAGCTAAAGTACGTGTCATTGTCACCAACCTTGAAGCCCTACTAAGCCCTGGTCAGTAAAATGCGTCAACAGCTTGCTTCCGAGCAGGCTGAGCACGCTCGGCAACTGAAGCAAGCGATCCAGTCTAAGGAAGTCGAGTTGGAGTAAGCACATCAAGCGTGGCACCCTGAAGCAACAATCAACTGATATGTACAGGGCTGAGCGTCGCAAACTAGTTTCGGTTCAGGAAGATTACAAAAGGCAGATCGATTATACGAAAAAAACGAGCGAGGCCGAGTTAGAGTAAGGTTTCAGCCGAAGCCGACGCAGTCTCGAGGACTAACTGCAGTAGGAAACTGCGACGAAAGATGGCCTCACTTGGCGACGATCATGAAAAGCAACTGAGCAAAGCCAGTGAAGCTGCAGAAGTTGAGGTTGGCAGACTCAAACGTCGTGCCGACGCCGAAGCCGCGGATCTACGCGCCACTATCAGCAGGCTAGAAGTCGATCTTATGAAGGTATATACGACCGTGCTGCGTCGCTGTCGAGCCAACGCTAAGGAACATGCAGACGAACAAAAATAAAGCGCAGGAGCTTCATACACTTCAAGAGGAGCATACCGCGCGACTAAAGCTGACACAGCAACAGAGCTTGGCCAAGCTCGAGAAGCAGATTGACCTGGTGGAAGAGTCTGTCAGCAAATGTGCGCGCCTCGAGAAAGAACTGAATGAAACCAGACAGGACAGCCTCAAGGTATGTAGTGTCTATCATGAAACGTAGATGGCCTTGGGCATATGATGTTAACTGATCGGCACAGATTGCAGCCAACCTAGCGGAGGTTACTGACGCCAAGCAAGCGATACAGACAGAATTGGACGACCTGCTAATGGTATTTGCCGACGTCGAAGACAAGGTCAGCAAGTACAAGGCACGTATTTCTATGCTGTGCATTTATGCATTGAAGCGCTAATTATTTCAAGGCTCGGTTGAGGAAGATCGGACTGGAGGTCTCTGATGGCGAGGATGAAGAAAGCGAGGACGAGAGCGAAGACGGGCAGGAGCAGAGCGACGATGATGTCGAAAGTGAGGACGAGGCGGGCAGCGGGCGAGTGACAGCGAGTCGCAAGACTGCTTGAGACCCCCAAACAGCCTATCAAGGATATCGGCACGACACAAGGCTTACTTGAGTGGGCGGCTTTGGAAAAGAATGAAGGTTTGTCTGGAAAGCCATTTGTTTCGGCGTCAGACTCTGCAGCTTCAAAATGATCCTGAACTACATAGTGATCCCCGAATCCCCGCATTTCCGAAGCCCCAAGCTTCTTGTCTCACCGCAACTTCCACGTCTGCGACATCTGTTCTGTGTCACCAGTCGTCCATGTAGTGGAAATCCTCAGCGCTCTAGGGTTATCCTCAGGCGCCTTGAAGGTGACCTGGCCTGACACCTTCGTGTCACACTTCACAGCAACGGATCCCTTACTCTGATCCGCTAGCAGGAACCCCTGTTTCCAGTGAGTGTCAGGTCCGTATGGTCCGGTGGTGAAGACAACGGGCGACTGATCCTTGCCCGCCCTGGGTTTGGCCTCAACTCCAGGTGGAATGGTCTCCGCCCTGGTTTTAGTAAAGAAGCAGTCAAACCAGATGAGGAATCCGTCGAGTGCGACAATGTCGCGAGATAGAGTCGAGTTCCACTGCGCAGTAAAGTTCAGCTCTTCGGCTTTGACTGTATGAAGATCAAGGTATGAAATTTGAGCCGGCGCGCCGCAAATGGTCGAGGAGGGCCAAATGTCGATGCGGGCTTCGTCGTAGATTCCGGCCTTGAGGGCCTTCATGTCGAAGCCGTAGACGTCGTCCCAGAAGGAAACATGGTCCGCGACGAACTCTGGGTCTGATACTGGCGCCACCCATATGGTAGACACGCTAGGGACTAATATGCCATCGGGCCTCAGATATTTGTCCCTAGCATAAAGGACGCTAGGTAACATGGCTTCGTAGAGAAGACAGTATCCCATCCACTCGCTGATGATGATGTCTACACTGTCGACAGGAAGGCTGATATCCTCGATTCTGCCCTTGAGCAGGGTGATAGTGTCGGACAAGCCGTTGTGGTAAACATTTTCGCGTGCTTTGTCAATGATATCAGACTTGTCGACAGCGTACACCATTTTAGCACCAGCCTTGGCACAAAACATGCTAAGAATGCCTGGCGGTGGGTTAGATTGCCAACGAAGCACGCTATACTCTGCTAAGGACTTTGATCTTACCAGTGCCGCAGCCAATGTCAAGAACGACCTTGCCCTTGAAAAGTGCTTTGTTCTCGTAAACGAAGTCACGGTAGGCATCCGTACGAACAACGTCCTTGAGCATAGTCTCGTGGATATCTTGGGTCAAAGGATCAGCGAGTCTGATTTGAATGAAGACGACAGCCGTGCAGAGTGAAATACCACCCATTATCAGCATACGACTCCCAGTAATACTGCGACTGGTCTCGGGGCGGTGCTGCGGGGCCAGGATCGGTGTCGTCGCCCCAGCGGTGGTCCAGTGTCTGCTCCACGGCAGTGCGGTAGTTTGCAAACTGCGCTTTGACGGCCGCCAGTTCCCGCTCTAGCTCGCTCTTGCTGGCGAGGAGCGACTGTGTAGATGGCACCTCACCTGCCAAGACGGAGCCCTCCTTACTCAACGGCTCAACATGGTCATCAACATGCAGCTCGTCTAGAGACATGATGAGAGCATCATCTTCCACAACGGGTTTCAGATACTGGTCATGATCAATATCCTCCAACCGGATGGGTACAGGCAGAGAAACACCGTCAAGTACCCTCTGACGGACTAGTACTCGTGTTAGCAAGATGTGCAAGATGTGCAGGATGTGCTATCAGGCGTGTGCGGAGGCTCGAGCTGGACATGGGTATGGACACACTGAAGTTGACAAGCCTGACGCTTCCGTGGAAGTCAAGGGCTAGGCGTCTCTGGGCTCCAACAAAGTCGAAGTCGTATTGCTTCTTGCAGTGCTCCAGCATGCTGGTGACGTCGGCGAAGACGGCGTCGTCCAACAGGGAAACAATGGCGAGTGGCTCTTCGTGATCCGACTCGGCGTCATCCCAGTCGGCATCGCTGCCGCCAGAGCTGTTCGATTCTGTCGAGCTCATCGCTTCGTCGTTTCTCAGCTTGTTCTGGGCCATGACTGGAGAATGCGCTGGTGACAGGCTGACGCAGTTGAGGCAGTTGGGCGCAAACTTGACCATGTGCGATGTGGTGGGGTCTAACTTTGCGCCAGCAGGCCGCACCAACTTCGGGGTGTCGAACAACTGGATGGGGACTTGAGAAAAAAACAGGTCCTCTTACCTCCAAAACCCCAAGTGGTACCCTAGGTAGGTACGTTCACTACAACTCATCTTTTCCACAGCAAGCCAGTGAGAGCTGGTTATGAACTCACAGAGCTCCTAGGCTAATCTGCTCCACTTACCCACCTTTGGGCTTCCACAGGCCAGTGAGTGAGGGCCAACTCAAGACCAACCAACACAAGTCCGGATTTTCACCTCCATAACTCAATTTGTCATAGCTAATACATCGTTTGTAACCGCTATTTCCAAATTGAAGTATCCTACCAACACTGTACAGGTGCGATGGCCGCTTGGACGTTATTGTCTGTTCTTGGCCTCTTTTTCTCGGCCCAGATTGTGCGGGCTAAACATCGATCATGCATCTGCTCATCCAGGTATCTGATCTACAGTTATCTGGCAGACAAGGACAGCGTTTCGTGGCTGACGAACCACCATAGATTTGTTATGGACAGATTTCTGGATGATCTATACTTTTTCCGAGTTGGCCCGCCACATTGGCTTCTCCTGATTCTGTCAAGACTTGACCATGGGCAGGTACCACGAGGGCCCGACTGCCGGATGCTGCAACTGGGAATGGGAAAAGGCAGCTGGAGACCTCATTCAGCTCGAAGAAGGCGTACTGAGAGTTTGCAGGATCAGATTTACGACGCTGAGGAATCCCTCGCCGAGGATAAAGCCAGATGCAAGGACGATGAGAGACGTTTTTGATCGATCTTGTCCACTACCGAATCGACCAGAGGACCAGTACCAGTTGAGCAGACCACCCAAAACTCGCGCGAGCGTGAAAGATGGAACATTATACATGCCTATGTCGATGTCAGTTATTGTCGGCCGATGTGGTCAGCCCCCTGGTCCATGGTTTTAGCCAAACATACCGACGGCAACAGCAATCCCGCCGGGGATGAATGGCCTCCAGCCCTTTTCGGGCGACACAGCAGCCCTGATAGCAGTTGTAATTGCAAAGACAATACCGAAGCCAGTTGCCCACTCTCGCGCCATATTTGGCAGGCCTTCGCCTGTCACCAATCTTGCTGTGAATATCCATACGTAAGCTGTCGGCACCTGCAGCAGGCTACCAGGGATTGGGTAGACGCTACACAGTGGATTAGTTCTTCTTGCATTTCCCATTGAAGAATTGCAGGCAGTCCGGGATACTGACGCGGTATAAAGTCGATACACAAAAGCGCTAACTACAGCACCAGCCGTGGCCCCAATGATCTGACCGTAGAACTGCGCTTGTGGTGCCGCACCTAGCAAGTGTCCCGTCTTCAAGTCCTGCATCAGCTCCCCAGCTTGTAAAGCTCCCTTGACCCCTGTCAGTATAGGATCGGATTGGGCCCGATTTAGACCAGATGGTGAGTCTAGGAAATTCTTACCGCCTCGGACACGGCACCCGCGACAAGGTTGATTAGAACACTGGTCTTGTGAGACTGTGGGATGATTATGGCGAAGAACAACTGTGCCAGCTTGCTGATTCCCGAAACCGGATTCAAATCGGTCTCACCAAGCGCTCTTACCCCCATGATGCTGAGGACAAGTGCTAGTAGTACTGCGGCAATGTTGGCGTAGAGTGGAACGAGATTGCCGAAGACAATGCGTACGGCAACTACGCACAGTAAAATTGACGCGAAAAGGCCGACTGTGACCGTCTTGCCGCCAACTTGTTGATCTGGCGGCGCGTCCTCCACATCCTCCCCAACTGGAACGTGACGGTCCCGGGAACCGTTCCCAGATCCAGAAGACTCAGATGATGCATTTTGACCGAGGAGAGGATCGTTATCGTCGTAGTCTTCTGATTGGAGGGCGGAATATCTCCTTGAAAACTGGCGCGGACTACCTGTCGCCAACGACCAGACGCCACGCAAGCTACTGCGTAGCGTGACGGGGGGCTTATTGACGTTCAAGCGGGAGAACAGCGACCGAACAACCAGGTGTGCTAGGTTGACCACAGCATCTGCGAGCATGATGGCCAAAGAAGTCCACAGAATCCAGCCTTTACTGCCAGTCTCCCAGTCGCCGACCGCGCCCGGGGCCCAGCCCCGTGACTTAGCCAGTGGCGACAAAATGCCCCAGCCGACAAAAGCACCCAGCAACATATGTAGTGTTGTTTCTGGGCCCATGATGATTCCTTGTCCAATATAGGCAGGGCTGGGATTAAGCGTCCATAGCCATGACTGAGCTATAGCGGTGCCAAAGATCGGGATGTTGCGGATGGAGGGAAAAAAGAATGTACAGAGTGTGTAGACCCCTGATACTACGAAGCATGTCGCGAGCAGGCGCACGTTCTCCGCCCAGGTCGTGGATGGAGCATCCTCTGAAGCATCATCGGTCTCGTCGTCAGCAGGTGGCACAAGGCTCGCAAAGCCACCAGCTGCCGGCGAGTCTACTTCGGACGATGTCGCCGGCTTGTCTTTGCCGTGGAGCACTCCGATGAGGACCGCTGTGCTGAAGCCACTTGGGAAACGTAGCCTTTCGCGAATGATGACTTGTCGTCGTCTAGTAAACGTCGTGTCAGAGGAGGCGACTGCAAAAGCTTGGGCAAGATGCGTGTCTTGTCTAAGGGCTTACAGGGGCACAGCGAATACAACACCAAAGTAGCAGAGACCAAGAGACCATACAATGAGTTTCCATGCCTCGAGGGTGATCGGCCCCTGCTCTTCGGGCGTGAGGAGATAATTCATCGCTGGCAGCTTTCACGAGGTCAGCGGTCTCCGAACTGGTGGTGCATATACTTGGGAGCTGCCTTGGTCTAGGTTGCTTTCCACAACAAGACAGGCAGACGAAACGTACCACTCCTACGAAACCACAGCCCAGTGGCATGATAGCCATACTTCCAGCCACTGTTTGGACGAGAACATTCTCGACCGGACTGAATGGGTAACTTAGGTGGCGCGCAAGTGACCGAAATAAACCAAAGCCCATCAAACTAGCCGGCATGGTCATGGTACTGACCCATCCCGTCTGCAGGCCAAAATACATGTTGGAGAAACAAATGACAAGGCCAACCGCAAGTCCTGCGGCCACACCTCGAAACGTGAAGCTGTGCCCATGAATCTGCGGCGATACCTTTGTTCTGCGGCCTTCTGGACTGCGAAGGCCAGGACTTGACTCAGGTACTGGCTCAGGTACTGAAGGAAGCAAGCGTCGACGAGCGTCGTCGCTGTCGCTGCGAGCGGTGCTGTCCCGACGCGACATCATGTCCTGAGATAATTGGAAACGCTGTTCAAAGAGCGTCGGATATTTTATACAAAAATCATGCTAACATGGACCACAGGCAAGCTGAACGAACGGCGGTAGCTGATGCGAGCGACGCAGATGTGTATGAGGTATGAGTGGAGAAGGCACATGATGATGATAATTACATTAGGTATTGAAGCGGGACAGGGCGCGTCACGACGAGTGTCGCCCGGACCTCTTTTGGACCCACTTCAGTGCTAAGGGTACCTCACCTAGGTACCTGGGTAGGTGTACCTTTCAAGGGGAGGTGGCTTAACCCGAAGCCAGCAACCTGTGGCACGACGCCATCGTTTCAAGGACGCAGGTACTGACACCAGCCGAACAGGGGCACTTCCCCGCCATTCCCAACATAGGTACTTGATGTTTTCAGACAAAGGAGACGCAGCATCACAGGACGTTCATCAAAATTTATCGTTTTCATGCTGTTTCCCCAACTACCCTCCCTGAGCATTCTGATCATTAAATGTTCTCACCCCAGACATCGTTAACCCACCGCTGACGCCTAGAACCCGAAGCTGTCCAGCAGCGAGCTCGAGTCTGGTTCTTCAAACATTGTGGGTGGAGGTTGATGTCTTCCCGACTGTCCCTTTCCAGATTCGGCCATTCGTACCTCGTTGCGCAAGCTTGAAAAAGGCATGTCATCCACCACGAGAGAACTTCGCCTCCTCAGAAGTTTCAGCGGGTTGGCCTCGCCTCCAAGCAAGGATCCTGTCGTTGCTGCCGGCTGAGGGAACTCCCAATTACGGACTGGTCGACGCAAGTCAGAGCCAAGACTTTTCTCGCTCGGGTATAACTTACCAAGATCCAGACCAAGAAGATCGCAGCCCATCCGATCAAACAGCTTGGCACTGTGAAGAACAAACTCCCATTCAATCCGAGGGGTTACTTTGGATGCTCCTCGAAGGGTCTGCAAGGTCTTCTGTCGAAGCTGCGAGTAGAGCACTACCAAGGCTGGGTCATCGGTCAGGAACAACTTAGACCTCAAGTCGGGTACGACTGGGGTCTCTAGAAGAGTGTATACGGGCGTCTGCCACAACACGTCAGTCATGATTCGAAGTCTTCCTCAAGAACCGTGACTTACAATCAGCGACCTGACGGCCATATCTTTGCGACCGAGCATCCAAAACGCCCACGAGGCAAGCCAGCGATTCCCCTCGCGAGCTGCGACATTGAGGACTTCGTCCTCGAGGAGTTTCCGAAGGACTGGACCGTTGTCACCCTCGTACACTCGGGCGATGGCAATAGCAAGTTGCAAGTCCTTGAGCTGGTGCAGACAAACATTGACAGCGTCTGTTAGATGGTCCGCCAATAGAAAGAATGCCGCTGCATATTCTGTTCTTCTTGTCAGTTCCCAGTGGTCAAATCGGCGCACCATGTAGACGCACCAAATCTGCGCTTGCTCAACAATGCGTATGCATTCTTAAGTGCTGTCGTTCGCCATTTCGGGTCTTCGAAGTTATTGGCCAGCAGGCGTTGTGTAGCGCCTTGCTCCTTGTTCCAGCTTGCCATGCGCCAAAGCCCTTGAAGCACAGTTTTCTTCTTCAAAGCTAAATAGTAGAGACTGCAGTCAATTGGGTTTTTCATCTCGCTCTTGGTATACTCATTCCGAGCGATGATCTCGAACTGGGTCCTCTAAATATTCGCATTATTGTCAGCTGCAAAAGTCAGGCGAAGAACCTACAGAGACCTACCATAGCATTAGTGTCAGTCAGCCACATGAATATGCCACTTTCCCTGGCACTTTCCCAAAGAAGCGACCCATGATACTGTCGTATCACAAAATCCACCAGAATGTCCTGGCTGCCAGAATGAAATGCCCACACGATCTCCCGCCAAGAAATATTGACCTCGCTAATACGCCCTTTGCGCAAGGCGTGTTGGCGAAGGAAGAGCATGAACCTAGCGCCATCCTCGTCTAATGAGCGACGGTGTTTGTCGACCAAGCCTACACAATCAATGATGTCGGCTAGTTGCATTTGCTCTTGTCCTGACAACTGTGGGAGACCGACCTTGGTCAGTCGCTCATTAATAGCCGCAGCAACATCCTCCGTGAAGGTTTCTTGCATTGGATCATCCGAGGCACCGCGTTTTAAATAGGAATCGGATTGCTGCTTGGCCACTTTTCCCGACAAAACCTAGGTACATGCATGTTAGAATTCAGTCGTATCGAAGTTGGTACACTGTACGCACCGTGTCCATGTAAAACATATCAAGTTTCATGCCGAGATAGTCGTCAATATGCTCGCCTGGAATGTGATACTTGAATGTTTGGTGTAGCGCGAGAAGGATCTGGTGTACCAAGGTAGTCTTTCCCGCCAATATACATTGGCTCAGAAACTGGGGATGAAATATCGGCAATGGCCCGTTGAGTCTTTGTACAGCCTCAAACAGGTCCCAGACACCATCTTTTTTCTGCGGCAGCCTCAAGGTACTGACCTTGGAATCGGCGAGACCAAAGCTTCTCCCATAAATCAGCATCTGATTACCCGCACCGACAACGAGATGGCCGTCCCCAAGCCAAGCAGAGTCACCGATTGGATGAGGAGTTAGCTCGCGTATGCTAATTTCTCTGATCGGAGCCCAGGCAGGGCCTTTATTGAGGTAGTCAAAACGCATTTGCGATAACAAGACAACCCGGTGTTGGAAGCCAACAGCCAGAATAGACTGCGAATCTGGGGTTGAGGTCCAGTCGAGATCTCTGATCGTGTGGTGGGCCTCGTAGTCTTGGGAAAATTCAAGGCGGGCACCACCAATATCCCAGATGGATAATTGCGATCGCGAAGAATCAACAAGGGCTGCCTTTTTGAGCGTGCTACCGCTCACGAGCGCTGGGTTTGCAAGACCAGTCTCCGAACAACAGGTTGACAGCCACTCTACGCGCTTGTCAGCGTCGTCAATACGTGCTGTCCAAAAGTCAACACGACCTGACTGAGTGTAGGAAATGGCAACGTCCTTGGCAAACACATCCAAGAAACCAGTCGTAATCGGGGAAGACCCTGCGGGATCAACAGGCAATACGTAAGCAAGCCCCTCAATATTTCGCAGCTCAAATCTGCAGAACTCCATGAGAGTCGCTTCACGCGAGCCCTCCTGAGACGCTGCATCTGGCGCCATGTATGGTGGCAAGTCGAGTTGCCACACAATGCCCTTCTGCTCTGAAGTGATTGTGGCAATATGGACGGTTCTATAGTCGTCTCGATGGTGTCTTGGTAATTTCAGGAGGCACAGAGGCTTTCCAGAGAGCTCATACGGCTGGTGGCACATTGCAATCGCCTTTTGACGGCGACAGTCCCATACGGAAATTGTCTCATGCTTCAGGAACACAACAAATCGACCTTTCCGAAGGACACATATGCGGTGTATATGACCCGCCTCCGGTACGACGCTTTGCCGGGATAGTCCAGAGGTCGCTCTGCCCCCAGAATGTGTCCAGACAACGCTCTCTCCATCAGCTGTCCTTGATACGACTGATCGCCCGCTGTAATTGCGAACTATTTTCTCGATCGGTGACGAATGGCCGGACCAAGTACATCGATTATCAAATTGATGACAAGCAAGATCAGGGTCGATTAAATCCACCAGGTCAGTCTCGAAAATGCGAATCCTGCCATTAAACTCATGGACTAAGATTCGGAGACGACCCGTGTCGCGAGCGCAGTATGCCTGGACTTCAACATGAAGATCGTGCGTTATAGAAGGAAAGTCCTGCCGTGGGGTAAAGTCCTGTGAGTTGATGTGCGCGACGCTGGTTACTTTGAGCTTCTGTGATCTGGAGCCAACATTCTCTAAAGCCAAGGCGGACATGGTATCACCATCGCCGAGAACAAAGCAAAGTTCTGGGTTCCTATTCGCCACCCCGATCAGACGCTGCACGGCCGCCTCTGGCAGTTGCTCACCCGACGGGTGCCCCTGAACCGCCTTTTCGGCAGCAGCGGCAACTTCTCTCCCATCAAGGATAAACAGCACCGGGGCCGAGGAGAGCTTGGACGCTGACCTTAAGGCTTGACCCTCTACAGACCAGGCAAGGTCCACCTGTGCCCACAGATGGAGTTGCTGGTTCGAGTGAGAATCGTACCCTGTCCAGATTCGAAGAACGAAATCAATACATGTGGTGTACAGAATGTTGTCGATTGTTTGTTCTGTATGATATGGTTTGCGCCACCGGATATTCGTCACCACGTCGGGATGAGGTAGACACGCAAGGTCGAAACAGACCTCATCTGCACCATAGGTAAGCCTTCGCCAAACCTTAACGATTGTATCGTGAGATCCAATGACGGCGATGTAGGCGGAGTCGAAAGAAAGCTGTGCAGACTTTGCGTCATTTGGTAGTGCCTTCTCCCAGAAACACGACGGGGCTGCTGAGGTTGTAAGGTATAGACGAAGGGTCGATGCGGCGACAAGGAGCTCTTCTGAAGCTCCCCATGATAGACAAGGATCTGTTTCGCTTGTTTGGATTAGGAACGACGACTGCAGTCCCCACTTTCCAGAATATCTGTCAGCTTTGGAGAAACAAGCAGTGAAAGTGGTCGGCGCAAACCTTGAGTGCGCCCTCTGCGTGTCCCAAAGGCTTGTAGACTCGAACGGCTGACCCCGTGCATGTTGCTATTTTCCCCGAAAATTCGTCAAATGCTACAGCAAGAAGAGCTGCTTCGTCGTCGTCGTAGACTGTTTGGACAAGTTGTTCAGGGCCGTCGAGGATGGCAAAGGCGTTGCCCGTGATGTATACCTGTCGCAATGACGTTAGAACGAACGGGCCTAGCCAAATATACTCAGTGACCATATATACTCAGTGATGATACTCACAGTATATTGTCTTGACCCCCAGAAGCCTGTCGCCAAAGCTTGGAGCCCGGACCTGGGTCTCCCTGGTAGGATACCTCTCATTCTATGCGTTGCTGCATCGAAGTCGCATGGCTCTCGAAGCGGAACTCTGTGGAATGATCGAGTTCGGGTGCCAGGTAAGAGATCAGATCAGAACGCGGTGCTGAAAGAGAGTTGGTGTCGTTGTTAAGGTGCTGCAAAGCCTCCAGTGACAAAGCTTCTGAATTGGATAAATTCAACCACGCGAACTCTTCTCGTGCTGAACAAGTGGAATCAAGCTCATGCGGGTGCTCGGTGCATGTCCAAAGGCTGGCTACTTCGACACGCCCCTAGGTACGTGTGTAAAGGTACCGAGAGGAATGACGCCACCTTGCAGCTTCAGGGTGCACGCTTATATACATAAGATATGTAAACACAATGTATGGGCCCAGCCACTACCACAAAATGAGGACCGCCATGCTTTCATTGTAATGGCCCGCTTAGGTTAAGAAATACGCTGCTTCTCAAATCATGTATCACTTATCTAACGGGGTATCGTCAAGTCAAATCATTATCCTGGTCGCCTGCGTCTTCTCTGTTCCGCAATGCGTCGTGCCTCAATCGCGGACAGTCGCGGTGTGCCTCTGATCGACAAGTGCGCCGACTGATTCAATTGTGACATTCGCCCATTGGCGACGTAACGTCCGCGGAGCTCACGCTCAAAAGGTGTCGATAGTGGTGCTAGAGGTGTTGTCGTAGGCAGCCGTGCGAGTGATCCTTCAAACTCGATCCGTCGTGTTGGAGTGCTAATCACATCTCCCATTTCATCCAATTCTGAAGTTGGCTGCTCCGAAAAGTCCTCTTCCACGTCTCTAGGCCAAACCCGACTACCCAAGAATGATGATGCAGCTGTTTGACCAGATCGGGCCTTTGACCACAGTACTGAGTCCTGAACACGGCTGCCACGCGATAGACCATAGGAAGACGCCGCAAGGGACATGGGCTCGGGCGCATGAAGCGTCTCACCTTGTGTTTTCCAACGCGTAAGGATCCGACGGACAGACTTCCTGGTGTTCTTCTCAGTAACGTCCGTCACAATATACAGCTGCGAGTGTAGTTGGACCGAGACAGATCGCCATTTGCTCCATACTTTGGACTTGAGCCCCAGAGCCCACGTGTTGGAGGCCTCATGCTCGACCAGACGTTGACCCTCCAAGGAGACAGTCCACTCATTCAACCAGATGTCATGCATGTAAGCTGGTGATTCCATTGCTTGTTGCAAATGGCACTGATGTTGCCAACATGCAAGAGTCTTATGGATGCGACTGCAGTTCGCATGGCGCTCCTCCGATTTCGAGGCACTTACCACGATATCAATATACCGCAAGCTGGCCCTCCACTGAGAGAGTTTGTTCCTTGCTATCAGTGCCTTGTGACGCCACCTGCAACGAACATAGGCTCTTTGCACAGATGATGACCATCGTGGCACGGCTTGTTTCCACGTCTGGAGCATTTTGGTATATCCAAGATACACCCGTGCTCGACGCGCCCACTGACCGAGCTCAATATCCCTGTCTCCGATTGTGTACCAGCGCATCAAAGCTCGATGGGCGTATTGATGAGTCGCGTGGATCGAGGCGTGATAGAGGGCAGCACCGTCAGTGACTGCTACACGTCGCCAGGTCTTGAGTACATCACTCATGAAGACACGCTGGTGAAAGCGACTAGCAGCGTCCTTCGGGACCAGCAAGAAGCTCGGACTGGCGCTCAGTGATTGAGATTGGGTCAAACCATGTCTAGTTGCGATGCCTTCGTCCTGTCTGAGATCACCCCAGCGGCGAAGCAGCACGTTGATACTTCGAAATTGCAATTCGTCGTGGAGCTGTCGACCACGTACTATAAGAGTCCAGAGTCGCAGAGCCTCGAAAATATACAAACAGCGTTGAAAGCGAAATGCTGCTTCTCGATGGGCCTCTTCACAGTCATGCGAGGTCTGGAGCCTTGTGAAGGCGTTGAGGCGTTGAGCTCGATTCGCTAGGTCGAGTAGACCTCTTCTTTGATGACAGCGGTCTTGCCACTGCTGCAGCGTACGGCTTGTCATCCTCGAAAGTATTGATTGCGGCCTGGGAAGATTCGCGTTTATTGTTGCCGTTCTTGTCGTCCATTTGTTCATCACTCGTTGTAGTAGCCGTCGCTCATACTCTCCACGGCGGTTCTGCGCAGCTGCTACAGTGTCGGATGCAAGACTTGACCAAGTGGCCACGTGTTTATGCACTGCCTTCTGGTGCCGTGTCTTTTTACTTTCGGCTGCGTCTACAAACCAAGGAGAGAAATACCTGATTCGTAAGATGTGTCGCCGTGCAACAGCCGCACGCTCAAGCTTCTCGTCGGAAAAGGCAGCCCAGTGAGAAATGGCTCTAGTTAATTGCAGAAGGGCCCAGGCTCTGGACGCTCTTCTCTTAAGACGACGGTAAGAACCCTCAGGATGTATCTCATCAAGATTAGACTGGAGATGGTGGGATCGCGGGACAGTAGGCTTAATGGCTTGCCATTGAGCAGCTCTATGGTGGCTCTCCTTATCGTGGTGGATGGGATGCTGGGTAGCATATTCCTTATCGGAAATATCAGAAAGATGTTGCCTTGTGTTCGAAGCCTTCGACCAGTCGAAGGTGATGTGAGCAGAAGGCCGTGGAGGAATCGGTGATCGCATTCGGACGGGAAGGCGTCGAACTTCTTGAACTGCATCAAGGCCCATATCAATGGCGGGGGTGGTGGTTTTGGGCAAGCTTGTAGACTCATCGGCTGATGGGAATTCGTTGTGAGAATCATACCGGACGGCTATTTGCTCTCCCGGCAACTCGAGACTGCGTACTCGAAGCTCAGGCACGACAAATTCATGGTTTAGTCTCGTAGGATCTGTTACCAGATGCTGGGAAACCGGAGAAGGGGACAAGCCATGGTCTGGTATAACAGAGATGTTTGAACCTCTGCCACCTATCCTTCTAGCAGTATTCTTGTTCTGAATATCGGTGGGATCGTCCGGAGAATTCCAAGCTGCGATATCGGTAGGTCCTGTGTCACGTACGTCGAGGTGATCGGCGCGAACATGCGACGATGCGGCGGAAGACACAGTGGCACTATCCGAGTCGAGTTCGAGCTCAATTCCCATCCGGAGCAGGACATCTCGACAACTGTCCAGCAGGGAACCTACCCCACGTTCTCCTCCTATCCGAAAGACCAGTCGTGAGAGATGATGATCTTCTTCCGGATCGATGCCATAAAGAGGTAGCACCTCATCGTATGCGCTGAAAAGAGCATTTGTTGCCAGCTGTTCCCCTTCAGGTAAATTGTTGAGTATTTCCTGCGCCCTGGAGACGACGCTGTAAAGGATTTCGATGTCTAGCGAGAGTAGTTAATAAACGGTTGAAACAAGGGGCTCGACTTGCTCCGTACCATCGTTGCTATAGTACGCATCCGGAACTTGGGACAACGGTGGACTGGCAATGCCCTCAAAGGGAGCTTGCGCTGAGCGCGGCGACAGCGGTGGCATGTGAATCAGCACCGGAAGAGTCGCATGCTAGTTCGTCAACACATATAGCTTGTAGAGGGACAGGCAGTGCCGCCACCCTCAGAGACACCCTGTCGATTCTGAGGGCAGTTTTGTCATGGAGACAAGCGCATTTGCAGTCAAGAGAGAAACGAAGTGGTGAGTCTATGAGCTAGGTCGGGGTTTGTAGCTAATGTGAAGCTGGTGCGCAATGGATCGCCTTGGGAGGAGTGTACATCTCGATGTTGGAGTCGCAAATTCCTGACCCAGGCGCGTCCTGGGCTGTCGCGACGTGCAGAACGTGGCCATCCAATCGTGTTGGAACTTAGCGGGGTCGCGTCTAGTACCTGGGTACCTTAGGTAGGTACCTGATCAAATATCTGAGCTTATTAGCCCACCCCACATCAACCGCTACTTGCATAACCTCGGAATGGCACGTGCGGCTCAAGTAGATTATCCATTCATTTGTACGACATCGTCACACGACGACCTGCGCGCGAGTGTAGCCTGCGTCGCTTTCTTCTACGGCTTTCTTCAAGCCAAGCCTTACTTATACACTGATTACGTCAAACAGACACGAACGATGCCTAGTCGTACGAGGCCTATTCAGAAGGTTGCTCTGGCAGTCTCCCATTGTAGCACGGAGGTAAGTGAGGTTAGGAGAAACGCAAGTTTCACAGCAAATTGATACAGAACTAGACATCTGTGTACGGCAAATGTATCGTCTCCGATTACAACGCCGTTCACAAAGATAAGTGCTTGAAAGAATTTATGAAGCTGAAGAATTGTTACCTGGTAAGTGGTTTTCCCGATTCACTTTTTCTGACCGCCAAGACTGTTTATCGATGTGTCTATCTATACATATTCCCTGAGAGTATTGACGCTTTCTCAGGTGGCTTCTCGCAACATCAGATGAATGTCGTGTGTTGTAAGGGGACGCGATGCGAGTCCAGCTGACCGCCGGATTGGTTATTAGCTCAACTACACACTGAGCAGGATATGCTCTAGGTGGAATGAATTTGAGCCCCCGACGGACCTTGACTGTTCCCGCGGCGCGCTCCCTAAGCTGCATCACTGGATAGATGAGCCAAGGCAATTTACAAATCGAGAGACGGAGATTACGGAGTGTTCAGCAAATAAATATATGTATTAATCGAGGTACTATGTATTCAGCTTGTGATATAGCGGCAACGGCTGAACATGAAATGCATAACACGAGGGTACAGATAGGCGTGTTCTATCTGATACTATTGTGGTACCTGCCTAATCAGTCGACGAAGACAACACAGGGAACAGCGCATTATAGCCCAACATCGCCATCGCAGCATCGCAACGACCCGGACCGACACGTATAGCGACATTCAACCCTTCGGCATCTCTACGTCGGCGGTGCCGTACGTATTACAACCTCTACTAGGGCCCACCTGATTCCCTGGAAGAACCTGTCAACACAACGCAGCTTCGATATGTCGTTTCTTTTTGGCAGGGCTCGGACGAGGACAGTCGTGGACCTTCCGAAGCAGGCGCGGGAGCATATCATGCGCTTTGACGTGCCAACTGCTGGCGCAAGGGTGCGGTTAATTCCCATGTCCGTCTCCTCGATCAGGGCTTCAGCTAACACGAAGCTCACAGGGTGAGGAGCTTGCGAAGGTGCTCAGCCAGATGAAGATGATATTACAAGGAACACAAGGTCTGGCCGACTCCCGAGCCCACGAAGCTACGCCATAGCATTGCAACTAACACGGAAGCAGAAGCTGATAGCAGTCCCGAACAAATCTATCAGCTAGTGACTGGTTTGATCGAAGAGGATTTGCTGTTTCTGCTTGCCGTCAACCTCTGGAGATTGCCATTCGAGTCCCGAAAGGACACACAAGTCATATTTTCTTACGTCTTTCGATTCCGCCCGACCACAGCATCCCCCAAGAGTGACCCAATTGCACTGTCCTACGTGGTGAACCAAAGACCGCAGGTCCTTCTCGAGCTATGCAGAGGTTACGACCACAAGGAGAGTGCAACGCCGGCTGGCTCCGTGCTGCGAGAAGTTCTCAAGTCCGAATCTGCCGCCGCCGCCATTCTGTACGATGATGGAGATCAGCCAGGCTCCAGCTCCAAAGGCCTCAGTGTCATTGACAGAGATCGAAAACAGACCGGCACGGGCGTATTTTGGAAGTTTTTTGAATGGGTTGACAAGAGCTCATTCGAGGTCTCGGCTGATGCATTCACTACATTTCGTGTAAGTCTCAGCGCCGACTTAGTTCATGTTTGATCGAGACTATGCTTGATTGAACACAGCAATACTGACAAAAGGGTTGACAGGAGCTTCTAACTAGACACAAGGAACTGGTCCCAAGATACCTGTCCGTCAATTTCGACTTGTTCTTTGACAAGTACAATAGCATCCTGGTGCAGTCAAACAGTTACGTCACGAAACGCCAGTCTATCAAGCTACTTGGTGAGATCCTACTGGATCGGTCCAACTACAGCGTTATGACAGCCTACGTCGACCGCGGCGAACATCTCAAGATCTGTATGAACTTGCTCCGTGATGATCGGAAGATGGTACAATATGAAGGCTTTCACGTCTTCAAAGTGTTCGTGGCCAACCCACACAAATCGATTGCGGTCCAGAAGATCCTGCTTATGAATCGGGAAAAGCTACTGTCGTTTTTATCCCATTTCTTGGAGGACAGAACAGATGATGAGCAATTTATTGATGAGCGAGAATTCCTGATCAACAGATCAGGAACATGCCACCCAACCCCATCCCTCCGCAGCGGCATGTGGTTGAGCATACCGTGTCCCAAGGAAATTTTACAAGCTTCACCTAATTGTCGTTATCGAAGATGTACGTCGCGTGCTCTGGTAGTCTGACGATGCTTCCAGCCGTGGGATTGACTGAGCAAACCTCTCTACAGCCACATAGGAGACTGGAACTTGAACCATGTGCCGGGCGTCTTCCCTTGGAACTGTTTCAAAGTTATGTTCAAGGGCTGCCCTGCAATCAACTTGAGCGAGTGGTCCCTCGCCCGACATGAAGGAGCCAGGGTTTGGATCGTCTCGTGTACTGCCAAAACGTGCAACCTTTAAATGGTGCATGTAAACAAAAGCGTGACTCGTCTGGCGACGGCAGTTGGACAAACATACAATTTCCCCTGGGCTTCTGCAAAGGGTGCTTTGACTGTGCTGCTCAAGGATGGATATTGATCATGAAGGTAAGCAGTTCTTTTCTGCAGGTTTGTGTCATTTAGTTGTTCATATCACGAAACCGTTCCTGTACGGGCGTCACAATGTTAGGCCGGTAGGTGCTTCGCGTGTACATCATACATACTCTTGTCACAACATTAGCTAAGGATACAAGAATGGTGAGAAGCTCATCAGCAATGTCAACGCAGCGGTGGAGACCTGCTGAACGGCATGCTGGTACAATGAAAGGACGACCCCTTCCCCTCGTCCCTTTGTTCTGACAACCCTTCGTCTTGCGCAGAACCCCATTTAAGCTTCGTCAACGCGACGGCTTAGCCAGCATAATATTCACACTCTCGCGAGCATTCTGCGTTGCCCACACACTGTCTTTGCCGCCTCGACGCCATTCTTCTCCTGAGGCATCTTCGCCACCTCCCCTGGTAGCTTCACCCACAATGATCTCCAGGTCGCGCTTCTGGGAGCTGAACCAATCTTGAAGGAAAACAGCAGGGTCGTTACCAAGAGACATGAAGAATGAATGCTTGGCCTTAGAATTAGCCACCGCCCCAACAAGTGTTGTCAGCTGGTCATCTAGCGCCATGATCTCCTTGAGCGCGTTGCCATAAGTAGGACTTGCAACAAATGGAAGCGTAGTATTACGGAAGGAATCGTCGACGGCGACTTGAACATCGTATACTGTAGGCTGTGGGTTGCGGTGGAATGCCTCATCGACCCGAATGGTATACGGAAGGCTGACTGGGGGTAAAGGCTCGAGAAAGCGGTCGACGTATTCTCCCAGATTCGGTATAGCACCAACATCTCCGCGCGTCACAATCTATTCGAAGCACAGAGCTTAGCAGAGAGCTGTATGGAAACGGGGGTAGCAACTCACCTTGCGCAGAAGGGCATCACATCGGAAATGACGCTTCTCTTCATCTTCCTGAAGCCCTGAAGCTCTGATATAGTCCCAGACGCCCATGATCGCCTCTTGCCTAGTAGCTTCAACCATATCGATGATCTCCGCTAGTTCGGGCCGTACCCGATGTCGCTCCGGGTTTTCCTGGCGCGTCAATTTGATCGTGATATTCATGTTCTCGTCCCCATTGCGCTTGAACGTCAGCTCGTCAGCCTCTGTGGATGCTGGGGACTTTGCGTGGTTGGGCTTGGTCGTGTCGAACTTGTTCCAGGTGACCGTTTGATCAGCAGCAGCGCGTGAACGACTGGTATCGAATTCAACAGTCAAGTGTTTGAAGAAATGGGTGAAGCGTTGGCTGGTTGATTTACTCCCTGAGTTGGCATCGCCGGTGTCCGACCCATCAGGTTCGTCAGACGAGTTATCATAACCATCGTCGAGCAAGCGACCTTCGATTTTGACGCGATAAGATGCTTCCACGTTCGGTGTAAAATCGAACGTGTCAACAGCAAGCCCGTTGGTCTGCCACACTTGGTCCTCGACTGTGTTGTTGACCCATATGCGAAGAGTCTTGTAGCGCTGCGCAATAGGTGGTTAGCGACTAACATCTCACCTATTAGTAGATGGCAGTCATTACCTTTGTGGTGCGGTTGAGACTATCCGCTATGTCTAATCGCTTCCGCATCAAGGTTGCATCCAGTCGTCGCTCAACGCCACGCAGTTCTCTGTATCGTTGCGCCACAGAATCGCCTGTAGCAAGACAGTCCTCGATGCCTTCTGGAAGTTCTTTGTCGGTCGGCTTGCGGCTTCGTCTCTTCAGTGCTCTGGCTGCGGTCATCTTTTCGAGATCAACCGCTTGCGCTGGGATATGGGGTGGGAGCGAGCCCATCGAGGCTCGGTTCATCGGGGCGGACTGTTGGGGGCCTGGAGCCGTTGGACCTGAAATTTTTCAGTCAGATGATGTTCACCAGCAGCACTTCGATACAGTCAGCAGGCGGCAATTTACCCATTCCATTTCGTCTCGGGCCCGGATGAGGAGTGCGCTGTGGGGCTTGTTGGGTACCAGGCACGTATGACCCAGGCCCAGCTCGGAATTGAGGCTGCATGCTAGAGTATGGCAGTTGAAGTGGCTTTCCGTAGTGTTTGAGTTGGGTGTAGCGCGTTTGTTCTTTGCGGGCTTTGTATTCTTGCGCTGGCGTTGACAACACCCGTGGTTGCTTAAATGCGACGACGCGACATCCTAGGCGTGTCAGTTCGCGAGGCTGGAGTCCCAGATTCCTTCCTGTCATCCCCGATACATGACGGAACAGGTTAGCGCAAGCGCCACTATTGGCCCAACTTGGCTCAGCCACTCCCCTGCTGAGCCACTTATGATTATTCACCAAACTCTGTTACCTGTCATTGTGCGACAGCGGTCTAGTCTTGACTGCCTGGCAACAGCGAATTAGGAAATGCGCAGGTTTTGGACGACAGCAAAAACCCGGAACAGCAACAAGCATACTTTTCAATCCCGACACCCTGTATTCGAAGCACTTTGTTCCCGCGAGTCTCCGCTTACAATACGGTTCAGGGACATAACTATTCTCTAAGTATCGAATCCAGCATCTCCTCACGTTGAACAGTCACATCAACGGCTACCCAGGCTGTTTAGTTATACTAGGTGAGCTGCCCGACCGAGTAAAGAGCGAAACAAGTGCTGCTTCTCGTGGCTGTGTATAAATGTGGTTCAAATTGCCCCCTGTCGGTGGGTGCGGGAAAGATCATTATTCGCCTCCCTGAATCAACTCAACGCTGCGCATAATATTTGGTCGGATGTCTATATTTAGCCACCTTGTCCAGCTGCAATAAATTGATCATTGCCTCCATGCTTCTATCCAGGACGCGAGTATAGTACTTGAGTTGACGAAACGCCATGCTCCTGAATGCTGATCAGACTCGATATAATAAATACCTTATAGCCCCTGCGTGCCTCGGGCTCTCTCTGCCACAAGCCTCTTCTTGTCTTGGAACTCCGATGCTCAAGGACGCAGCCATAACGGGACAACCGACACCAGGCATCATCGGTCTTCCCGATTGTTTAAGATATCTCAAAATTGCGCACCGAGTCCGCTCTTCGACTGCCGCTTACTGAACCGATTGCGCTTTGGTGTAGGATCCTCCAAGCTCGCTTGACTCTTACTGAGATGATTTCGCCCCGATCGCTCAGACGCTCCCCCGCTGTATCCGTCCCCGTAGGGACCACGCCCGCCGAGGGTGCTGGCTGGACTCGACATAGTTGATGACATATCAACAAATCCACTGTCAGCAGCATATGAAGGGGCCGAGTTCTGAGACAGCGCGAGCTCCCTCGCTCGCACCAACGCCTCAATCCAGTCGTCCGCCGACAGGCCGCCAAGTTCTGATGAGGTACCTGCGGATGACTTTGGGTCTTCGAACGTGTAGTGAGATTTGTCCTAGGTGTCATCGGTCAGTTACAACCTCTAGTCGTGGAGCATCCATCTATCGGCCGGAAGCTACTTACTGTATTCACACACCATACTGTCTGCCCTTTAACATCCACCTGAGTTTTCCAGGAGCATTCAGGAGCCAAAAGGGAGATCTCCTGCTTGGCACGTTTGTCTTCGCCGCCAGCGGGTGCAAGAACAATGCGCCCGCTCGAGGTGATCATGACGAGCCTTTGTCGTTTCTTTGTAGTGCTGCCGCCGAAAAACCTGGACAACTTCTTATGACCCTCTCCGTGGTCCCCGCCTTTCCCGTGAGGACTGCTGGGAAGTGGGCTCGAGACGACCATCAAGTCGCCGAGCTTCACAATCCGCTCGTTTGTGCGAGTCAATACTGGCGACCACTCGATGTCTAATTGGGTTGGTGGAGGGAGTTCGGTGATAATCCTGACCGGCCTCGCTGCATTGTTAGATGTCGAAGGACCTGTTGGCAGCGATGCTCTGGCAGTATTTGACGTGTTGGGAGCCGAGCTTGCATGTCCGTTCAGCTGGATTAAAGTTGGCTCCTGGGGTGCAGGATTGTAAGGCCGCAGGCGCGGAGCTTGTTGTCTCCACAGAGACTTGCCGAAGGGTTGACCGTCAAAAAATTCATGGTTCTTTATGTGCTCCACGGTCAGTCGTCGAGCTGGGTCGAGAACTAGGCACCTTTCGACTAGGTCCCGCGCCGCTGCCGGAAAGCCTGTTGGAAATTCGTACTCAAGGTTGACAATCTTCTGGAATGTCAAATATTCTGTGCCAGCCTTGAAAGGTGGCCGGCCGGCCAGAAGCTGGTAAACGATACATCCAAAGGCCCATAAGTCGCTCGCCTTACACGCGTTTTTGCTTGTCAGAAGTTCCGGACTGACGTACTCTGCTGTGCCAACAAAAGATGCTGCACGGCTTTCTCCATCTTGGTCTATAGTACTGCCATCTAGTGGACCCCCACCTGTAGGCGCAGGGCCTTGCAGCTCTCGTGGCGTCTTCAGTAGTTTGGCGGTGCCGAAGTCGGTAATTTTGACGTGCATATTATCGTCGAGCAGTACGTTCTCAGGCTTGAGGTCGCGGTGGATAACCCCCCTTGAGTGCATGTAATTGATGGCATCCAAGATCTGTGCTCCATAGAACCTGGTGCAATCAACGTCGAAAGTGCCTGTTTTCTTGAGCACACCGAGAAGCTCGCCTCCATTGCAGAGGTCCAACACATAGTACAAGGAGTTTTCATCTTGAAATGTGTAGTATAGGCGGACGATACCGGGATGCTCTGTCAAGCGGTTCAATGTATCCTTCTCGATGTTGACATATTTGATTTTCTTCTCTTTGATGATGTGGCGTTTCTCGAGTACCTTGATAGCGTACTCCTTCAGGGTCTGCCGATCCGTGGCCAAGTAAACAGTGCTGTATGACCCTTCGCCCAGGACACGGCCGAAACTGAAGTCACGTACCCCTTTCTTGACATGTCGGATGACAGTCTTTCCATGCGAGTCGACATCACGCCGCATGCCCACCGCTGCACCACGATCCTTCCATTCTTCGCTTGAAGACGGCATTGAGTCTTCAGGGCCATATGGTTCCCGTCGTGATGGGGCGGTAGCAGCTGAAGCTGATGCATAGCCTCCTCCCATGCCCTTAGAGCTTCGTCCCGGTGGTAAAGTTCCAGTTGTGGGTGCTTGGGAGCCTTGACGAGAGCTGTGGCTTGACTCCCGTGAAGGCACAGGGCCGGCCGGTCCAGGGACAGATCGTGAGTCGCTCCTCGTGGGCATGCCGTACATTGACGACCGGGATCGCTCGTTCTTCTGCGCCTCATGCTGCGAAGAGACTCGCACATCTTCAGGGAGCGTGCGGCTCATAGAGCCATGGTATTGACCGGATTGGGGCCGGCCATTCGAAGAGAATGATTGGCCGGCTAGCCGATCAACATCTGGTTGGTATATGGATGTCGGCTGGCGGTATGCATTGAGCCTCGAAACATCTTCGGTTGATGTTGATTGCTGGGGGGCGCCCGGGTTAATGGAGGCGCCGTATTGATCGCGGGACGGACGAAGGCTCGGTGACGATTGCGATCCAGATCTGGCCGGTGCCTGCTGCTTGTCGGATGAGGAGGTCGGAGGAGGGTCGCAGACCGGCAGCGAAGCAGACGCCGCGCCTTCCTGAGATGGGGCTGTGTCGGTGTCGTCCGGGTTGGCTATACGCAGTCCTCCAAGGGCTTTGGACAAGCTGAGATCCCCGCTCATGGTGCCTGATGTAGGAACTCAGTTTAATGTTGAAATGGCGAACTGCGTGGGACAGTGGCCGCAGCACGACCTAAAAGGATGAAGCCGTCCGAATAGAAGAGGTCGAAAGTCAGGGTCGGCATTGGACACAAGCCGTGATCTCAGGCTGACGTTCGATTGGTGCAAGTGGGTAAAGGCTACGAGCTACCTAACTACCAGAAGACAGAGTGATGTTGGCTGGCAGGAGAAGCTGGGCTACGTAGGTACTTACGTCGGTACCTACCTCTGGGTACCTATTCACTCCTATTGCACACCTCCTCGCCCCAGGGGTCCTATGGCCCGTGAGCAAATCACAAGCCTCTATAAGGCCCTATCGGATCAGCAATTTCGGGCGAGATTGAATGACAGAGGTTTTATCAAGCTGGCCGAAATAAGAAAGAATGCTCAGCTTGTGTCTCCTGGGGATGTCCATGACCACCCCTCGATCAGATGAAGATGAATGATATTGTCTCACTGGCTCGACGTACCTTTCACAGAGACGAGTAAGGTCTCTGTCTAAGGGTGTCGGCGACCTAGGAGAAACGTGTGCATCAGGTAATTGAGGGGTGCAGATTGGCGCAGCACCCTTAAATCTGTGGGGCTGTAACCTGTGGCGACCAACAACCACGGATTTGGTTCACAGTTAGATGAGTTTTCAAACACACGTCAACAGTAATGACTGATATCCACCTTTCCGTTGCTCTATTCCGAGCACTGATTATGGTCTCTGCGTTGGTCCACTTCGCAATTGTGAGGTTGTCAGATGTAGAACGAGAAGGTGCCATGGAATTAGTACGATTGCCGAATGCCTGGCATCTAGGTAGGCAGATAGAGGAGAGCTAAGTGGCTCGTTGCTTCGTCAAATTTCCAGTCTTGGGTGCCTCAACTTCAACTTGATGGGGTTAGGAACACATCAGGTGACTCAGGCGAGTGCCCTCCCCTCGTCTACAGTTACGAAGTTCGCACTCTGGGAGCAGATTTGTCTTGCTGTCGCCACAGGCCCAACCCCGCATAGAAAGTCACTGCCTGCCTGGCTGGGGAGTCGTTCTCGTAACATGGAAGTACCGCATCCCACGGGAACAAACCGAATTCACGGACGTAAGAGCTGCCGGTCTGGCCGCTAGAACCCACCTAGTTGAAGGGTCTTTCTGCGAGCCCTCGACAGTTAAGCTTCGTTACGACTAAGACACTATACCTACATTCGAAACTTGGTTCCTGATGGCATGACCAAAGCAGTCCAAGCGGACCGTGCGGAGCGCAGAACATGCCTCGATTTCGCAAGATTTTAAGCGAGAAGGGAAGCTCATAAAGCAAACGGCTACGGTGTAAGATGTAGTTTCGCGCTCGACTGTTAAGAGAAAGCTTCTTCGTTTTCATTCAAGGCAACGTGATGACTTACTCGGTCTTGTCCTGCATCGGGGATGCCAGGTGGGGATCGCCTTTCCTTCGGCAACGCAAGCGAGGGGAATCAGCAGGCTTATATCACGTGACACACTTCCATCCTTTGGGTAAAAGTGGCTGAACTAGCGCTTGGGGTTGGAAGTGCCGTGCCGCCTAGTAACTTAGGTAGGCCAGCCATCACCTGAGCCAGCTTTCTCCGCATCCTGACAAGGCGACGGCAAGTACCCAGTACATGTACGTGCTGGTACATTCTTCCGGATAGAGCACTAGTTAGGAGCGCAATTGGAAGCACCGAAGCTGGCTCAGTCAGATCTGGGACATGGTCCATCTCACCCACCTCTCCCTCATTCTGTGGCAGCCCGATTTAGGAACCCTTGTTTACCAGCCTCTATCCACTCCTCTGTTTCTTGTCATCTTGCTCCCTACATTGATGTGAATTTACATCGACGCTGAACCATACCCCCCTGCCTCCATCAAGAGCTTCGAACCCGTCTCTTCTGCTACAAGCACTACGTTTTCACGTATACGCGCGAACCTCGACATCTTCTACAACCTCTCAACATTCCAACGAGTTGCCAACTCTCTTACGAAGTACGATCGCAGCGACCGCTGACACGACCAAACCCTCGGTTTCGACCCATTACATTCCCACCGCCAACGTCACAATCGCTTGCCTTTACATATTTCTACTACAAATTGTCCACCCCAAGCCCGTTCACGGCCACACCAGGGACGATAGTCGCCAACCCACGCCTGGCATTGGTATAACGCACGCTCTTGAACTAACATCTTCATCTCTTGTGATAGAAGAACAGTTTCCGTGTGAGAGCCAGAGAACTCACTGTACAGTCAACTAACACCACAGCAATGGGGTCTTTCGCGCACCCCGTCGCGGCTTCGTCGCCAGTCATAGCAATCCCTCAGCACGCGCCACCGTCAACCAAGTTCGCCATCTCTCCTTTTGAACAGGCAGGTGCGCCAAACATCGCCCCCGCGCCGGCCGAGGGTCGCAGAATGGCTGGTCGCAAACGATCCAGGGATGAGGCATCGCCGAATCTCACGGAAGAGGCACCCGAACCAGTCCAAGAGGCGGAGGCAGGCTGGGAATATGGCGAGGGCATGATGCTCATCAAGCCGGTCCAGGGCTACATTGCCGATGCCAGTAGCCAGTCAGGCACCTGGGTAGAGGAACAGAAGGCACGCGAGCAGGCCGCGGCTGCAACTGTCGTTGCTTCCCAGCGTCCAGAAATACGAAGCAACAAGTCACAGCGAATGGACCACCCTGCCACCTCTTCTCCCGGCATAGTTCCAATCGTCACCGGTAGCGGAGTCGTGGTCGTGGACAAAGCTTCGGGACGGCAAATTGATCTCGCTGCGCCTGCGACGACTTCGGCGACCGAGAATGCTTCACATCCAGTTGTGGACGACTTTACACTGCACCTCGGCATCGGCTGGCGCAAGATCAGTCAAGACGAGCACATACAAGCAGCAGCTCGAGGATGGTCCCGCTACATCGAGAATCACTACCCGTTGTCCGCGGTCACACTTCGATTGGAGAGCCGAGGCCTACAAGCCTATTTGGTGGAGGCAACGGAGGGCTTCTTTCTTTTCGCTGAGGACTTGCGACAGGGCCAACTCGTAAGCACGAGGGCGGACGTGGCGCTACAGAACCTCAAGTGCTCGCCGCCTGTGTTTGAGGGCACCGAGGTCCTGACAGCCGCCGAATCCCCCGGCGCTACGGCCCCAACCGACGCCGCGCCAGCCTTCAGGATGGGGTTGCAGACGGACACAGAGATGAACTGAACACATTAAGAAGTCGACAGCTGCCAGAGGTAAACCAAATCCAAGGGAGGAATTGACGGTAGAAAGGTAGTTTCCTCTTGTCAATATCACGTTTCAATTTGCAGAAAACGAGGCGAGTGTGTGTGTGTGTGTTTGTGCACAACTTAACTCGAAGGGAGAGAGCGGTTTGACTTGGGGCGAACTACTAGGGAGAAACGCACGGGCGGTCGGGACAGGGACTCTGTCTGTTTTGTTGCTCTTCATCGGCTAACTGAACTGGAGGCGTTATGGTTGTGGCGTTGTCATACTTTGTATTTCATCTTGGAAGACATTCGATCCGATCCCGAAAATCAGCAGAGAACGAAAAGCAACCGCGTTTTGAATGCATGTTCTGCGCCGTTTCTCCCATCCTCTTATCTGGACGGTCGATGGCCTGTCGGCATTGCATGACTGCTCAGCGCCCTGACCGTGGTTCCACGTGAGCTTCTGGGAGGACTGACTGGTGGCTGGGGAGTGGCAAATCCGCAGCTGTTGACCCAGTGTGGGAGGGCCTCTGGCGCCGTCTCATAGGTTCACAGACCGCTGGGCTCTCCAGGAGTCTGGACTGCCCTTGAGTGATAGGCCATGGTTGTCCGTGACCCTTTGCCTCGTGCCTTGATGTCGCACGTCGTCCTGCCTCGGGACCATGCACAAACCTGCTTCTGCCTCTGGTGCAGTTCTTGCGCCTGTCTAGTCGCTGGATCCGATACCAGGCCAGTCTAGGCAGCCTCGTCGAATGGCGATACAAGGGGGGCCTGCCGAGCCTTTGACCATGCCCTACAGTATGAAGCAAAGCGCTCTTGCTCAACCGACTGCTGGGACGCTTAGGTCATGTTCCTGAGCCAAAGCCAAAGCTTCCATCGACATAAATTCTCATCGCGACGCCTAGAACTTCTCGCCTTCTTAGGACTCATCGTCTTGCTACTACGCCCTTGCTTCATCTCTGACCGTCAGACAGACAGACGCCTTGCCGGCACCTGGCCCGTCTTCGACCCCACCCGCCTTGATGGTCTCGCAGCCCGACACGTCCAATTCGCTCACTATTCGAGGCTCGTCCTCGGTCGTCTCCCGCCCGTCATCGTCATCCCGCACGAAGCGATACAACCGTTCCCACGTCGGCGGCACTTCATTCATACCTCAAAACGAGTTCCCTGTCTTCACGCAAAGCGGCGATGTTGAGATACTAGTTCGAGTCGCCGACCATCAGAACCGCTACCTCCTGCATCGCCACACCCTGACCCGTTGCTCTGGCTTCTTCGAGGCCAGCACAAGCCAAGAGTGGTCCCGCGCCCAGTCCTTGCCGGAACCCTCTTCGTCTTCGTCGTCCTCTACTACACGGCCCGGTCGCGGTCGCGATGATCAATTGACGGCAACACGAGCGCCCAGCTCGCCTGCACGCAAGAGATGGCGTTATGAGCTCGACCCCGGAGTTGGGGACGGTGACATTCCAATGCTTGTCCAGAAACACGATGTCGCCGCCTCTACTCCCTCTCTCTTTGGCTCCGTCGACTCCGAGCTGCCTGTTTCCTCTGGTCGCAACAGCGGCAGCAAGCCATCCCGCCACGCGCACTCGTCTGTGCATTCCAGCCACAGCTTCTTCCGCTCCGTCGCCAACCTCAGCCTCGTGCCCGCGCCCCCGGCTGGCCCCCCACTCTCGCAAGCCGACATTGATCTGCTTCGCGGACTACGACAATTCTTTTTCCGGTATATTCTACAACTACCATCCGCAGCTCGGACGGCGTCAACATTTGCCGATGCCTACGTGCAGTGTAAGTCCCTACTCAGTCTCGCCGACCAATACGACGCGCTGGCTGTTGTCGGCCCAGAGTCGACCATCACCTACTCAGTTTCAGTCAAGACTCTGGAACAGATAGCCAAATATCCCATTTCCTACCTGAGGCTCGGTATCTTGCTCGCAGCAGGGGATTTTTCAGGAAGCTCTGATACATGTTGTCGGCCAGTGGCCTGCCGGTGAAAGGAGTCTGCGTGCCGCGCTTCCAGATGGCGTCCTCGACATCATCGAAGACAAGGTCGACGAGCTTGAGGAGATGGTCACCCGTGTTGAGAGCCGCCTGTTCCGCCTTAGCTTGTTCACGGCGCGGGGTGACCGGGTAACACCCAGCACAGCCTACCTCGACTGGCTGGCTCTCAGTCTCTTTCGACAATGGCTCGCGGAGAACACTGGCTCCTCAGCACCCGACCACCACACTTCGTCATCGCGAACCGGCCGTCATAACGAGCTTCAAGTAGGCCCACTTCACCCCCAGGCGCCACCTATGGCCACAGCAGGAAGGGCTTTCCGCATGTTGGGGTCACCCGCCGCTTCTCTTTATTTAAGTCATGACGATTGCAAGCGATTCTTGAAGCTCACACCCGAGTTGTATAGTCGGGATAATCTGCGACGTTTCGAGAAACGAATTGACGAGGTCAAGTCCATGGCGCGTGAGATTGTGCGCCCCTTGATGAGTAGCCGCCTGGAGCTGGAACTCGGCGGCGGAAGGTCGACAGATGCCATCACTTACCTGACATGTGTCACGGTTAGTGACCGGGACCTTCCGTGGCGATACGAGTCATGATAGGGAGACTCGTCTGTCTTTGGGGGGCCGCGGGCAGTGTGTGTATGCTATTCGCTAACAGACGTAGGTCAAGGTGGATGGCACACGTGGCAGCATGTAAAGTTCTTCCTGTTTTCTAGCTTCTTGTTTCTAAGGATACCCTGTTGTTATTTGCGAGTTGGAACCAAGACAGATCAAGCAGCTGTGCTTCGCAATTCTATCGTTTGACCTGCCTCAATCCTCCCCGGTCAAGTCGATAACCGCTACATGGCTGTAATTCCATATCCTCTGCTGGGTACTCGTTGCCCGCTGACGTCCGACCCCTTGTTCGCCGTCGTGGACCATAAGTTGCGCAGCCTCATAATCGCCCAAGTCGACCTCTTTAAAGAATCCACACGCACTGGTCCGTGGTGCGATAAGTTTTCCCTTGCTTGCGGATCTTTTTGCAGTCAATACAGCCTCAAGATTTTTCCTAACCTCCGTACCGTGGGGCCTGGCTGGTCGCGCAATGACATGACTTCGACCGGCATGATCATGGCGCGACGAAGAGGTGGCATCGCGGCCTACTACACTGTCTGATAAAGCTGATTTCGGCTGTGCTGAGCTCTGAGATGCCTTGGTTGTGCACTTTGACGTGATTAGGGGTCGCATATTTTTGGGCTCGCTCCGAGAAGGGTCTGTCTCCCGTGTGCGAAGCCTGTTATCTCTCGCCAAAACCCCGTTGTGCCGCGCAGTTCCTAAACCTTCGTCCCCAGAAAACTGGGAGTGTCGTCCATCGTGCTGCGGTCCGTTTTTCATCCCCGCATCCAAGGCATCATTGCATGTTACGTCCAGACTAACTGGCCTATCTTTCGAAGCTTCGGGGCTAGTTTCGATAAGAAACGACTCTGTGTGCCCGTCAGGTTTGGTTGTCCTAGGCGTATGGTGTGAGCCACTGAACGCCCATGGATTTGATAGCTGCATGCTTCCTATGGTGGTCGCTTTCCCGGCAGACTTGGATGTGAGTGGCTTACTTCGAGGCAGTGACGCTAGCGGGCGGTTCGGCGACGTGTGTGGTTTTGAGGCCGCTGATTCCCGAGGTTGATGGCCCCCGAAATTCGTAATATTGGAGGGCAGTGGTTGAGGTAGTTTGAAGTGACTGAGGCTCTGCGAAACCGGTGGTACGGCAACGTTCTTTCCGGGACACTCTCGAGGCCTGGATTTGGTTGACTTCACCCACTTGTCGAGTGTATTTGGGGCTTTGTTGGTGTTGTTTCCGGCTGTCTTCTTCTTCCTTTGCTTCGCCAGGTTTGATGCGGTCATCACATTTGTCTTGGCTCGCTGCCTCTCCTCCCAATCCTCAACGCAGAGTGGCACGCCTAACTTGACGAGGCTCTCGGGAAGCCAGACTGCTTGTGCGGTAGTCGGGTCGAAGGTTGTCCTGGCGACTTGCTCGCCAGCCTCGACATCGTTGTTGCTTGGCACTGCCCCCTCGAACTCGCCATCACTGTTGAGTGCGAGGGCCTGCCTTCCCATCTCTGCCACCTTGTCTGACTCTTGTGATAGATCCAGTGGCACGATGTCAGCTGGCACGTGGAAGACTCGAAGCTCCGGGATGCCGTCCGTGCTGAAATGACTTCTCTTGGCCGATATGCGCTGAACAAGCGCCAATTCTTGTTGTTCTAATGATTCCAGTCTGTGACTTTCGAGCGACTGCGTGATGTGATCGTAACGTGCAAAGAGCTTCTGAGCAAGCAAATTCGGGGACAACACCTTGATCAGTTTGACAGCGCCCGGCCGATTTGTCCAGTCAAAAACCTCGTCAGTGAACCGTCTGAGTCCGCCAATATCGACAGGTCTGGACCACTCGACCGACCCGATTAGGTTTTCCACAGCTGCCTTCGAGGAGACAGCTGGGTGGGTGTAAAACCGCAAGACTTTGACATCGGGGAAGTTGTCCGGTATGACAATGGCTTTATGCTTCGTGCGGAAGAACTTGTTTTCGTTGGTGCGTAGTTCGTGGGTGAGATTTGCTCTCCATTCATCAATGCCGGTCTTGTCTGCTGCTTTAAGGCTGCACAAGCTCTTGCCGAAACCAGCTCGAGCCACCTCGCAAGCCAGCTTCAACCCGCAGCCGGGCACACCTTCAGGGAGGTAGTCGCCACCACTCATTAATGCAACCAGAACCATGCCCTGACGATCAAGTCCAGAGGCAACCAGGCTCTGCTCGTTAGTGTCATAAACAGTGACATGTGTTGGCGATTTCCCTCCCCGCAATCCCTCGGCCGACCAGTTGCGAAATGTTCGGCTACAGCCGAACATGATGGTGTCGACGTCTTCGCTGAGGACAGCGTCAACCAAGCCTTCCTGCTGCAGGAGGGCACATTCTGCTTCGGCCTCGCCCGGGGCTTGGTGAATGGGGAAGCCAAAGAGGCGAATAAGACGTTTGGCCATGGCTGAAGCAATGCCATCTCCACGTCCAGAGCGCTTATTTCTTTTAAACAGAGGCTTATTGGGACCATCAAATACGAACACCGGTTGCACAGGGAGTCCAACAAGTCGAACCAGCCGGTAAAAGAATGTTCTAATAGCGGGATTTGTGCCCCCTAGGAATAAGAGTTATCACGAGAAGCACGACAGGAGAGGGATTTGGAGTCAAATTATACCCTTAGCAGCCTGCGCTTGAAACTGCCATATGGCGATATCTATGGCGACGCGGAGAGGCCTCCCTGTGTTCTCCAGGCTCTCGGTAGCGAGCTTGGCGAGTGAGATCCTCTGGCCGGGGCCAAGTTCACGGTATATCCTGAGTGCATGTTAACAATTTATGTGTCAGGAACCAATGTCATGGGTGAGGCATACCCCTTGATACCCATCTGATGCGTATGTCGCTGTGGATCGCTGGTCAAGCGAATCGCGTTGGCCAAGCACAGGTGAGCCCTGATGCAGCAATTGGGTGGTCCTAGAAGCCTTGGGAGCTAAGATTAGAATTCACACGCCACATATCAAACAGCATTTTCGTGAATAAGGGCAGGCAAGGCACATAAGGATAAAGACAAGGTCGCGATGTCGTTCGATGACGTTACCTGACATCGTTACCGTGGTAACATGAGCCCATCATGGTATGTCGATTAGAAGAATATCACTGTGTTGAGACATACATAGCCGGAGCTGTTTAGCTCCGAGCACCGACATTTGAGCTTTCGACTTTCAGCGCCTCGGTCTCCACCACTTCTCAGCCGTTGACACAAACCACCATGTCGACCTCAGCACAATCGGCGACACCTGGTCTAGCGCACCGCTCCATCTCCAATATACGCTCTGGTGCTGGTCCGCAGGCTGGTCCGCCCAGCCCACACACTCCGCTTCGTGGCACGACGTCTGCATTTGGGTCGCCTTCCACTCTCCGCGCTGAAGAGGAGACAATTGTGATCGAGATAGGGACGCGTTTCGTCCGAATTGGGTTCGCAGGAGACTCGGTTCCTAAAGCCATAGTCTCTCCAGGTCCGGTACAACAACGCCGCGTTGGCGATTTTACATCATGCTTCCACGGTCATCAACCGTGCCGTCGTCCGTGCCTCCGAATACAGACCTTCCATCTATTGAATGGTGCCATCTTCACGAACTATGGACGTCGGACCTACGGTGCTTAGACCTGGTCCTCGTGGAGACAAACTGGACCGCCTCCTGCGTGAAGCCTTCACGAAGTACGTAGATCCTCACCATTGACACAGATGTGAGTCCACCCAGTGTTGACACGGCTACAGAAATCTCTAATCGATTCCCGACCCCGCCGTGTCTTCCTCGTTCTACCTCCAGCGCTGCCTGGTGCCGTTAGTTTCAACCATTCTCGATACCCTATTCCATCGCTTTCAAACACCACTGGTATCGATTTTGTCATGTCCTGTTACCGCTGCTGTTGGCGCTGGAGTACGGTCCGCAATTGTTGTGAACTTGGGCTGGGCTGAGACGGTTGTGTCGAGCGTCTACGAATACCGAGAGATCCGCCATACGAGGAGCACAAGGAGCGGCAAGATGCTTGTACACGAAGTGCATGAACTTTTAGCCTCGGCGCGCAAGAGACCGCCGACGCGGCTTGAAACCTCGGATGCAGATGGAGTTCGGCGCTCAATTCGTGTCTTTGGTTTCGACGAGTGCGAAGATATTGCCTGTCGCATGACGTGGTGTCAGCAGCTTGACCGCGCCGCGGTTCCTGAGAATGAGCCAGGACTGGCAACTGTGGAGGAACGGGACGAATTCACCTCTTTGACCCAAGACGAAGTCAGACAGCACCATACGGTCAGGAATATGCATCTAGGCATGTCGTCTTGTTCGCCCCCTGAAATCATCGAGCTCCCATTCCAACGCCTATCAGAGCCTTGCGAGAATACATTTGTGGCCCCTCAGTACACGCCAAGCAGCTTTGATGACGACGAATTGCCCATTCCCCTACTTATCTATCGCCACTTATTATCGCTGCCTATCGATGCGCGCGCGGTCAGTATGTCGCGCATCATCTTCACAGGCGGGTGTTCCAACATTCCCGGTCTTCGCAAGCGACTGTCAGATGAACTGTCTCGTCTGGTAGGCCTGTGGGGCTGGGATCCAGTTCACGGCGATGGTGCACAACAAGTCAAGGCTAAAGCGAAGCATAGTAAAAGCCGGAGCCGTGCGCATGCACAAGCAGCGGCGGTGGGAGAAGACGGGCAAAAGGATGACGTCTGGCATGACGCTGCCAACGCAGTTCCGGAACATGACAGTGTACAACAGCTTCTGCAGCGAACTGGAAACCCTCTCGAAAGCTTACAGGGCAGCGTTCGAGTGCTGGAAACATTAGGACCCTGGGCTGGGGCCAGTATGATTGCCCACCTTAAAGCAATGGCGGTCGCAAACATTGACCGTGAAGCGTGGCTGCAGCAAGGTGTCGCTGGGGCCACTCGCCCTGGGGAAGTTGACGTGAAAGCGCAACAACGGCAGAGCCTGGGACCTGGGCTCATGCGCGGTGCCTCGGTGGGAGGCTCGGCAAGCTGGACCCTGGGAGCTTGGGGAGCTGTGTAGATGCGGTAGTAAAATAAACACCACTAGTTGAGAACCCCCATTACTGATCAACCTCCTTATCTTGCTTATCGAGATACCACTTTCTGAACATGGGCATGGACTTCTCGATTAAGTCAGTTCATGCATGCTACGAACTCACTGTAAGATCACTTATGCTAAAGTACCTAGTCTACACTTCCACGCCGGGTATCGAGGGTCCTGTACAGGTGCCTACAACAACGACAATGCTTCCATTTGCGCGAGTGGGATGCACTTCTGCGGGACTGAGGAGGACGAGAGGAGTCTTCTATGGCAAATTCCGTCGCTCATTCGCAGACATGAAACGGCCGTCAATAGCGCCCAAGCCAACGCTTGACATCAAACACATACGAGAGAATGCAAACCTCCACGCAGAAAACTGTCGCAACAGGAACTACGGAGCTCACAGTGAGAATCCGGCACGCATCGCAGCAATATTTAAGCAGTGGCAGGATCATCAGCGCTCATCGCGTTCGTTGAGGGAGCGATCCAACCAAGTTCGACGGTGCATCGCGAACCCCACGGTTCGCGACGCTGAAGGTACTGCCAATGATATCTCCTCGCTCACAAAGGACCAACTGCTCGAAGAGGCGCGCAGACTGAAGAAGGAGCTTTCCGGCGTTGAAAAGCTAGAGGCACGTCTGGTCGAGGAAATGGAAACGCTTGCTTCGACAGTTCCGAACCTATCGAGCCCCGAGTCTCCTGTTGGCGAAGAGCCAACTCTCCTCAGCCAGATCAATGAGCAGCACCTCGAGAAGGCCTCCTCATCGGACCGAGTTTGGCGCTCCCACGTCCACATTGGTGCGGAGCTGGGCATTCTCGACTTTGCCAGCGCCAGCAGCACGTCAGGCTGGGGGTTCTACTACCTACTGGACGAAGCCGCCCAGCTCGAACAGGCCCTCGTACAGTACGCGCTGGCAGTAGCCGTCCGCCACGGCTGGCGCCAGGTCGCCCCCCCTTCCATGGTGTACAGCCACATTGCCAATGCATGCGGTTACCAGCCTCGCGACCAGAACGATGAACAGCAGATCTATTCGATCGCGCGCCCGGCCGAAGATGTCGAACGCGACAAGCCCGAGCTTGTACTCGCGGGCACGTCAGAGATTCCTCTCGCAGGGATGAAAGCCAATTCGACCGTGAGCGAGTCTGATCTTCCCGCCAAGCGCGTTGCCGTCTCGCGATGCTACCGCGCCGAGGCGGGTGCCCGTGGTGCGAGCACCAAAGGCTTGTACAGAGTGCACGAGTTCACCAAGGTGGAGCTGTTTGCCTGGACGCCGCCTAACTTCGACGACACAACTGAAATTTTCGACGAGATGCTGGACATGCAGACGGAGCTGCTGGAATCTCTCGGCCTCAGCTGCCGCGTCCTGGAGATGCCCACGACCGAACTCGGGGCTTCCGCGTTTCGTAAAATTGACATCGAGGCCTTCTTCCCCTCGCGCCAGGAGCAGCAAGGTGGTTGGGGTGAGGTGACGTCTGCTAGCATCTGTACAGACTACCAGACGAGGAGGTTAGCCACCCGTGCCCGGATAGACGGCCAATTGACGTTCCCTTGGACTGTCAACGGGACGGCTCTTGCAGTGCCAAGGGTGCTGGCCGCACTTTTGGAGAACGGGTGGAACGAAGAAGAAAAGACGGTTCATATTCCCGAATGTCTGAGGCCGTGGATGGATGGCAAGACCGTCATCACATCGCACCGCAGCGGATGAAGAAGGAAAGTGACTTGTAAATCTCCAACCTGGCCATAGTGCTCCACTCAGAATGTAATACTAGGACGATTGTCATTACTGTCGTTACCGCTACAAATACTGATCAAAAACGTAGGGGTACAGGAAGACCGATTACCCCGATATCCGTTATCCCCTGCTCCACGAGAACTCAAACTTATCCCAATATCTGCCTCGCCCACCCGTGAAAACTCCCGCGAGTTCGTTGCGACGAAATCTGAACTTGCTCCAGTGCATCATGCCCCGAGCCCGTTCTCGTACAGCATGACTTCGTTGCCTCCAGCAGCTCCCGCACCAAGGTCGGACCCGACAGCACTCTCCGTCCATTGGCTTTGCAGATCATCATCTGAATCATCCAGTCTTGTGCTGTTGTCGTCCTCTCCGACCATGCTGTCCGTCATACTCTCGGTGAAAATGGTTGTGCCCTGACTAGTCCGCCGAAGAGTGTCTGTCTCACTGGCATCATCGCCAGCAGCAGACTGACCAACGGACCGCCGCAAGCCACTCGGCGTGTCAAAGGAAGGCAGATCAGAGTCTTCATCCACCTCCCGTACCGAGATGTTTTCTTTATTCTGGGCACCGCGGTCTTTGTCGAACCCACCACCCCAGCTGCTCTTGCGGAGGGAACGGCCAACCGCGGCTGGGGTCCGTACGCTTTGGCTTCGAGCCACACCTCCACTTTGTACGTTGTTGTTAATCTGGCTGAGAGACAAAATGCGGCGGCCTGGGCTGTTCACTCCCGGAGGCGCCAGGTTGCGCTTCGCAGAGAGAGCAAGGTTGACAGCAGGAGAAGCGCGCGGCTGCTGGGTCGTTTCCGCCGACGCACGTGACGATGTCTTTGGCACCTTGACACGCTTGCGGTTCATCATCTCCTGACCTTTCGCAGCCTTGGACATGAGAAGAACGCGAGAGTGGTCCATGACGCCCTCGAGAATCCTGCGCTCCAATCCCTCGGCTCGGTTCTCCATCTCGTGCAGCTCTTCGCGACGGATGCGCAATGCCATCTCGAGCGACGAGACATCAGCTGTCAACCTCGTCTTCTGCTTGTTCATTGCGTCCTGTTCCATTCGAAGACTTTTAATCGAGTCCTTCAGGAGATCTTCCTCCTGTCGAAGGGACGCAAGATTCTGGTCAACTTGGTCCTTGTGAACGAGCTGCCGCTCCAGAGCAAGAGTCGTCTCTTGCAAGGACTTTTCTTTGGCATCGTTGGCCTCGGCGACTTCTTTCGCCTGGTTTGCGAGGAACGATGAGATTTCGGCAGCTGTAGCCATGACTTGTTGATGAACCTGCTCTAGCGTCTGCAGTTGAGAAAAAGCCTTGTCCGCCTCCTCGGTGTGGTTGACCAATCGGTCCAGCTTCTCTTGCATGACAGCATCATCGTACTTCTCGGTGCTCTCAACGAGCTTGTCGAGCTTCTGTTGCAAAGCTGTGTCATCGTATTTCTCCGTGCTGGACACAAGCTGGTCAAGCTTCTCGTGCACGACTGTGTCGTCGTACTTCTCGATGGGAGGCAAAAGAGGTGGCCCGGGCTCTGCTTTTGCGACTTCGAGCCTGCTGTGAAGGTCGGTTGCCGATGACTTAGAGTGTTCATAATGCTGGTCGACAATGTCCAGGACATCCTTGACAGCCTGGAGAATCTGGGGCTGGAAGTCGCCAACTTGCCCCTGCAATGCACCAACAGAGGCGATGGCCTGTGTGATTTGATCCCGAGTCTGTTGGTGCTCGGTCTTGTCGTTGGAGCTGTTTTCTTCTGTCTTGTTGGCGAGCTCTTCCACTTTGCTGAAGACTGTTCTCGAGGCCTCTTCCATCTTTTCAAGAGAGTCAGTGACAGCGGAACCAAGGGTGTCGATAAGGGTCTTCAGCTCTTCGGCGACGTTCTTTGTGCTCAGCAATGCCGCGTCGGTTTCTGCGTCACGAGCCTCTTCTGCCTTAGCCCGCTCGTCGGATGAAGTCTGGAACTCGTCATACTTGAGCATGAGCTCGGCAATCTTCTCCTCGATCTTGGCGCCCAGCTTCTCGGTGATCTCGCTGAACTTCTCATCAGTGTCGAGTTTGGCACCAACGACGCCTGCCTTCGATTCCTCAAACTCGGCTTTTATGATATCAGAGAGCTCTTTCAGTTCCTGGCCAACGTCGGCATTAAGCTCGACCGTTTCCGAGACGCCCTCGAGCAATTTCCCTAGGGCTTCGATGCCAGTGGCTCCATCCTCCAGCTTGCCCTTGGCCAAGGTTTGGAACTCCTCCAGTAGAGTCTTGACATCGGAGACTCGCTCGCCTACCCCTACGATCTCGGCTTGTCGCTCTTCAAGCGCTGCTGTGTGCAGGGCACCAGTTGACTCAACGCGGGTTTTCAGATCTTCGAGGGTGGTGCTGATGGTCTGTATATCTTCGCCTGAAGCCAGGGCAGCCATGTCCGTTTTGATCGTCTGCTCAAAAGCAGTCTTGATGTCCAGACACGCAGCTCCGACAGCATCAACGTCACTCTTGGTCACTCTCTCTGGGTCGGCCAGCCCCTTGCTGGCCTGTTCCTTCGTCTCCTCGAGCCCGTTGGCAATTTGTGCCACCAAAGCCTCGAGTGTCAGCATGTCGTCCTTGCTTGGCAGTCCTTCGATCTGTGCTGCGGCATTGCTGACTGCCTCGCGGGTATCAGCCACCAAAGCCTCAACACTATCCAGATGTTCTTTGCGGATAGCCTGCTCGCCGTCCATGAGATCGTCGAGTTTGGCCTTTGTATTGCGCAGGATTGTCTCGATCGCTTCCACGTCCTCCCTGGATGCGTTGTCGGTGCTCGTAGGTTTGACGGGCGCTTCTCTTTCCTGAGCAATCCCCGAGACTGACTCCTGAACACCACGAAGCATGTCTTCGAGGCGAGAGAAGTCCTCCCCTGCGCTCGTCTCCCGTGGCGGTTTCTCGAAAGTTTCCACATTCATGGCCTCCACCTTGATGCGAAGCTGCGTGATAAGGACCTCGAGGTTTTTGATATCATCATGTCGCAGCGCGTCAGCGGGAGCGGCAGGCACGACGGCGTTGTCGTTCATGGTGGTGACAGCCTTATCCTCTTGCGCATGCTGACGCAGCGCGTCGATTTCTGACCGGACACCATCCAGGCCTGCTTTCAGAGCATCTAGAATCTCATCGTTGGCCGTGAGATCCACCGGTCGGTCGCCGACCTTATCAATGCTGGAGCGTAGGTCTGCCAAGCCTTCGTGGAGGGCATCCAGGATCTCGGCATGGCCAGCGAAAGGGCGATGCATCTCGGCTCGCACGCTGTCGAGGCCGATTTTGACTGCTTCGAGGACATCTGCATTGTTATTCTGAGGACTGACTGGTACCATGGATGAGTGAACTGTGTCGCGTAGTGAGTCCATGTGGGACTCCATCATGAGCCTGGAGTCCTCTGTGGCCTTCTGGACCAGGGAAGCCATTTCGTCTCGTAGACCGTCCAATGCCTCAGCCAGAGTTTCCATGAGCTCTTCTTGTTCCACGCTCGTGCCACGCTCGAGATTGATATGGCTCATCAATTCTTCCATGTCGCTGCGGAGCCTCTCAAGGCCGTCCTTGGTCGCGTCGAGCACCTGCTCTGTGTCCCGCCCATTGGCGGCAACATTCTGTTTGGCTTCTTCAGAGACTGCTTTAAACTCCTGGCGTAGATAGTCCATCAATTGTTGAAGGCGCGAACTGATGTCGTTGTCGTCGCGTGGTGGTGCAAGGAGCGAGGTGGGTTGAGGAAAATCGAACCCTCGCAAACCCTCCTGGACTGCGCGAACCATGTCGTCACGAGAGAGCTCTGCGTTCATGGCTGATGGTGCGACAGGGAATTCGAATTCCTCCAAGCATTCTCGTACGGCGTCAAGAATCTCATCGCGTGATAGTGCCGTTGCGGAATCCATTCTTGGTGGCACGAAATGCTTCAGACCTTCAACCACGGCCTGGAAGACCTCATCTCTAGTGGCGCCAGGAACCCTGCCGTCTTGCGCCACGTAGTCCTGAAGTCCTTCTTTGAGGTATTCAAGGACATCTTCCCTACCGAATGACAGTTCCTCGGCTTCAACCTGCGGCTTGTAATCTTCCCAAGCTAGCCTGACAGCCTCAACAACGTCTTCTCGGCTGAGGTCTGGAGTTTGCGGCCCGGCGGCCTTCGCGTCGCGGAGAGCAGCTCGCATGGCGTTATAGATTTCTTGGTAGTCGATCGCAGTGGCACGAGACGCCGCTGATGCGGTGGACGATCGTCGGTGTTCCCGGACCAGCTCACTCATCTGTTCCTTCATCTGATCGAGACCTTCGTCGACGATCTTAGCAATCTCTTCCTTGCTGGCAGCTTCATCGCCGACATTGCCCGTGTCCTTGACCTCATCGAGTCTGCGGCCGATTTCGCGGCCCATGCCAAGGACTTCACCTCGAAGCTCACGGACGAGAGCCTTGACCTCGGCCGTGAGACCGCCGCTTTGAGCAATACTGTCCTTGACACCGCGGATGACTTTGACAAAGTCGTCACTCAAGGGTTCACTGGCTTTGACGGCCAGGGCAGAGGAGTTATGCCGGTTGTCATCGCGGACAAGAGCTGCCATTCTATGCGCTACCGGGCCGGGCGAGTTATCATCGAATCCGACCTCCAGATTGGCAGATCTCTTGTCGGCGTGGTTTGGATTGCGGTTTGGAGAGCTATTGTTCTGTCCGCGTACAATGGCGTGTTGTGAACTCTTCTTGGCGAGGTTGAGTAGTTCTTCAACCTTTGCTGCTGGGGCCACACCAGCCAGCCTGTCAGCAACCTCGGACAGACGATTCAATAGCAAGTCCTGCCCTTCTTTGGTGCCCATGTCCCGCATGACCCTTTCAAGGATGGCGACTGAGCCGGATGCATCCTGAGAGCACAGCGATGGTGTGCTGACGGAATCGCGGTCTAGGGAGGCTGAGAAGCTGGTGGGGGACGGGATCCTGGGGAGGGAGAAGGGCCTGGTAGACTTCGATACCGAGCCGTAGTGTGGTTTGTTGTCGAGATACAAGCCTGAACCGTAAGGATCCCGCGAGAGTGGTCGGGAATTCACTTCGTTGAGATTGGTGATCATTTCGCGGATGCTTTTACGGATATCTTCGTCCCGGGCCGTCGTGGCTTCTTTGAGACTGGAGAGATCGGTCGCATTGTCCCGGCTGCGGCGGCTCAGTTGCGCCATGTCTCTCTGGAGCGCAGTCGCTATGTTTGTAAGGCTCAGGATCTGATTGGAAAGCCCGTCGAAGTTCAGCGGAGCACGCACGAGGGCCGTCGATGTGGGTGCAGGATTGGCATTCTGGAGAGGTAATTCGGCCTCCTTCGGGGCCGGGGCCGGAGAGGGCACGTGTTGAAGGGCCAGCATGGTTGCGGACTGTGGCGGCGTGTTGTCTCCGAGTATGCTTTGGTGCGTTCTACGGGCCGTCGGACGGACGATCGGCGTCAGGCTCGGTCCCGGCGTTGGAGAGGTGAGGATGGCGTGGTTCTCCTTGTCCGACAGAACCGACTCGGAGAAGCTATGTGGTGCCCTGGAAGGGGTTGAGGGCCGCAAGTTCTTCTCGGCAGGTTTCGTGGGAGAGGAAGGCCCAGGCTGGGGCCCGTTTTCGAGCAAGAGGCTGATGTCGCGGACGGTGCCGGTGTGAAGCGACTGCATTCGTCGGTGTTGAGGACCTCTGACAAGAGACTTGTCTGGGGAGCTATCGTTTGTGCGCTTTGTCAAAGGGCTGGGCATGCCGCTGCTCTCGCGGGCCCTTTCGGCGAGTGTAGCGTGAGCAGACTGTATTGCGCTCGATGTACCCTTTCGTGGCGAGATGCTGGGCGACTGAGGATTGAGTGGAAGCGGCGGAGGCGCGCGTTCGGGATCAGAGCTATCCCACCTTTGGCGGATTAGCTTGGACCAAGTCATTCTGCCGAAGCACACGAAAACATGGTGTTTAGTAAGAAACTATGACAAGCTCGCACGTACATGGGAATGAGTGCTCGACCATGATCAGAAGATGCCGAGTGCTGATGCCTGAGATGGCCTTCTCCCTCCCACGAGGGGTCACGGTCCATGAGCGGCATTCCGGCAGTAGTCCTGGTTGAGTTGGAATGTTGAGGGTCTCTGGAGAGGATGTTGCGGATGCTTGGAATGTTCACTCTCAATGGGGGTTTTTTTTCCACCAAGGGAATGGTGGTGCGTTGATACGCAAGCTCCTGGCTTGTCGTCCTTGTCAGTCCTCGAATGGTTCAACGCGCAATATGATCAGTCGAGAGAGAGGAATAGCAACAAGGGCTGTGTTCGGCCTGGCGACCAACTTGGTGTTGTCGATTGTGTACCAACATGGAAAGCTCAGACGAGGTGGACTTGGAGGTTCGTTTATTGATATGCGAGCTAGTCGTAGAGGGGATCCCTACCTGGTTGGATAGCTGACACCCCCTGCCTTGCTCTGTCAATGGGGTTGGTGACGCGCCCAAAGCCCTTGTGTTGCTGTCATGTTGCTACAGCAACGACGGCATCGGGGCTCGTGCTCGGCGGAAGCTGGCACGTCATTTGCCTACGTGCACCCAATAAGGCCCCGGACTGGGTTGGGACCACTAGAGCTGAGCAACTACCTAAGCTGCCAAGCACCTCACTAGAGGCACCTCAGATTGCCGTCGGTACCTTGTCCGCCTTGCCAAGTTTCGTGAATCACAATAGCAGTTGAGTCTCGACTGTGCATGTACCGAGCCCGGCCTACAGGTAGATAGCTAGCTCTGTCTCTATTGGCTCAGTCATGTCACAGTTGCCAAAGTTCCCTTCGACGCCGCCAACAATCAGGACATAGGGCCCCTATGCAGAAGACTGCCCAGCCAAACACTTCCGTGGGTTGTTTCCAAAAGATCTTCAATTAAAATTTCATTTCTATTATACAACGAGGTACGCCATGCAATGAAGCATGCACTCCATCAAGGCGTTCCGGGTCGCGCCCTTCAGCATCACCACCATATGTAGCCAACGTCATCGGCCATGGCAAAGTCAGTCGTGGACCGCAGTCCAAAATCGCCTCGATGCGTTGGCAGGTCGTCCTTACCACCGACACCGGTACATCATTTAGGCAGCATGCCGTCGAAGGCAGGAATCAGCGTCTGAGCCAGCCAGAACGAGAAGACGAGCTTCGGGCCGGTCATCAACAACTAGAGGTGAATTGTAATTAGCCACAGCTCGTTGGACCAGCGTAAGGCGCGGCGCGTCCGTGCTTGTACAGCGTACCTTGGGAACCAGGCCCTTGAAGAAACTGGACAGGCCTTCGTTCTTGGCCATCTTGCTGAGAATCTTGAATCCACCCTCGGGGTTGTCGAAGTTGCGGTTCTGAATCCTCGTCTTGATGACATCCAACGGCGCAGAAACGACCAGGGAAGCCGAGGCACCGGCAATAGACGCCACAAAGTTCTGGAACCACGAGGCCTTGTTGTAATCCTCAAGGTGGAAGATGAACTCCTTGGCGAAGGCGGAACCTCCGAAAAGCTGCGCAACATCTTGTCAGTGTCCCCAGTACAAGCCATCGAAAGAGAACCACGTACTGCGAAAGATCCGGGAGCGTTACGCGCCGCGGTCCAGCCCCAGCCCCTGTACAACCCAAAGCCCTCGTCGGCGACAATCTTGAACACACCCCTTCCGCGGAAAGCCTCGGGGTTCGTCTGCCTCTTGATCTTGAGAACATCCAGCGGCAGAAGAACAATCTCACCGATACCGATCAAGCTATCGAGCCCTGTTAGCCAGGTCGTTCATCATCATCCCACAAAACACGGATCATCTCACCTGCCTGCCGTTGAGTGCATCACGGCCTTGCCCGTCTTCTTGCCAAAGGCTTGCTCAAAATCACGGCCATAGTGGGTGTCCAGGTAATCGCGCGCGATCGGCTGGCCGCCATACTTGTATATCCTCTGAAGCACCTTGTAGCCAGCAGCATAGCCCAGGCCGGGGAACAAGGAGAAGAACTTGCGGCCAGCTGCCGCGTTCGCAGTGTCCCTGAAAACAACCTTGTTCAATTCGGCGGCATTCGTAATCTGCTTCGGTGTCAGAGCGCGAAGAAACGCGAAAGGTGGCTACATGAATCGCACCTTGGTCTGGTTGCTCATGAGACGCTTCGCAATGGTGTCGACCTAGGTGCACTTGGTGTCAGAAGGTGCGGGTCGTGGTGTTGCGTTCGATCATGTTCTCACTGGATGGAAGACGGCCAGCTCGGCAATACCAGCGGACCCTGTAGTTTGTAAGTGTCAGTGACCGTATTCAAATGGCCGATGGGTGTTGCCACGTTACCGGATCCAAGGAGCCTAGCCAGGTTCGACTCCTTCTGTCGACCCGAGACTGACGGCGGAGACATAATTCGTGATGTTCGAGGGTTTAGGGGGGTATCGGTGGGTTTGTTCGATGTTTTCGTGCAAACTGCGGGTCACCAGAATGTTGATTGTAATCTGGGACTGAATGCCGGGTCGTGGCAGTTGTGTCGAGCTGTGGTGTTGCGGAAAAGGGGAGGCAGCTAGATCGCGCGCTGCTCAACAGTCATGTAGCTGCACACCAGGAAATTTTTGTCTGCCTGTCCGGCGTCGGACATGGCTTCTAGAGCTATGGGCAGCGTGGAACTTGTTAGGGGTGGTCCCCGTCGTATAAGGTTGGTATCAGCTAGCTGATTTGTTGCCCTGGCTTATCGCACGCACTCATTGGCCAGCGTTCAGTACGTTCGGGTCCTGTCGGCATAGTATGGTGCCATCCTAGCGTACCTGTCTCCACCACCTTGTCGTTTGCCTTGGTAGAGTCGCGATGTAGCAGTGTTTGCCTAGGCAAGACCCAGTCCTGCTTCATCGTCTGTACGCGGCTCCCACGGGGGAGGAAGATTGCCTCGGGACAATGCCATGTCGTCTATGATGCGCATCAAACTCCACCTCGGCAGCTACCATGCCGCGCCATATATGCCCAACCATATCTGCAAGCCCGGAAGTAGCCGTTCTACTTGCATCTGCAGCACTTGGTCGAGGGGTCTTCTCTCTGGCAGGAGACAGTGCCATGGACCCCCCGTAGTGTCGCTGGAATCATAAATCGGATAAAGAATCGTATGTGACGGTTATACAAGACACAACCATTACATCCAAATATGTGGCCTCGATCATACAGATATCCAGCAGGTTCGCTGACTTCACAACGATGTGTTGCGTCGTGAACAAACAATATCAAACACAGAGCCTCGGCATTGAGACATCAATTAGATCAAGCCTATTACTCTACAGCCTACATGCACTGTCAGGATGATGTACCAAGGCATCGGCCTGGCAGCTGGCGAAACGATTTGCCCTTGCTGAAACAAAGACATATATTCCGCACAACAGACGAGAAGCATCGTCCGGAAAACTGAAAAGAGAAAGCTACAAGAAGGCGCTTCGAGGGAATGCAGAGAAAAACTAGATCCAAGCTGGACTACTGCCATCATCATCACAATTACCACCCGTACTCGCTATTTACGCCCCGGTCTACTCGTCACTGTCACGACTGGCTCGCGAGGTGGTTGGCAGCCTGGAAATTGACGTCTCGTTAGTCCCCAATACGATAAATAGGTAATCGGTGCGCGACTCACTCTTTCCAAGTTGTAGTCGTACTTCTCGAGGGCCAAAAGTGCGTCGGATCGAGAGTATCCCATGTTGGTCAGATTTCTGAGAATCGGGTCATCATCTTTGCCATCCTCGGTCAAGCCCCTGGCGGGCAAAGGCCTCGACTCCGGTTCGGCAACGGGTGCTACGGCCGGGGCCGGGACGGGGATGGCGACTGGGGCCGGAGCATTCAGCGGAGCGGCGGTACCTGCGGCGGAGCCGTTGGGGGAGTCCAGAGTCGCGAAGATGGAATCCCAATCATGGGCATCGGCCGAGCTCTTGTCGGGCCCAGCTGTACCGGCACCTGCACCAGCAGGAGTAGCTGACGTGGTGGACGCGCTGCCAAAGTCGTAGCTGCTTTCCTGCCCAAATGGAGCTGTCGCAGGCTCGCTCTTGGCCTGGCTTTGAGGGGGGCTGCTGTCGAAGACGGGATTGAAGTCGTCCAAACCGGATCTCGAGATGGTCTGGAAGTCATCGTCAGCTGAACCCTCTTTGGCGTCTTCGAGTCCGTCAAAATCGTCGTCTAGATCGTCGAAGACTCCTTTTGCTTGGGGCGCTTGGTCGAACGGTTGACTCAGTACGTTTGCGCCGCTTGAAGCTGGCGGTGCAAACGGGTTGTCGTTCTGGGGTGTGATCGGGCTTGTCGGCTCATGCTGGAGCGAACTGGTGGGTGCTGTAGGTTCACTGTGCATGTCAGCAGGCATGTTCGATCCTTGGTGTCACATCGCACGGTCAAAGCATAGAGGCGACAAACCTGTTGTTCTTTACCGCAGTTAGACTCGAATTCGCCACAGTAGCATTGGGCACCGGCACCTGAGTCGCCGCTGACCCATCGCCGGAAGGCGCAATAGCAGGAGCCTCGTTCTGCTTCTTGGGAGGCGAAGCAGGCGCGAAATCGTCATCAAATCCACCACCCTCGCTGGCCGTATCAGAGTCGTCGTCTCTCTCCAGCTCGGAGATGGGAGGGAACTCGGAGTCAAAGGCCACAGCTGGCTTGATGGGCTCGTTACTGGACTTTTCAGGGGCCTTGTGAGCCTTGGTGAAACTTGCAAAGGCGTTGTCAAAATCCGACTTTGCCTTTTCTTCATCCGTGGCAGCAAAAGGATCACCGCCTCCACCACCCGTCGTCGCGCCGACAGCGCCGATTGCAGCTGATGGGCTGTCATTTGCGCTGGCCTTGCTTTCGCTAGCTGAACCCGTCTCGCGAAGTGTCTCGGAGCCCTCACCAGTGGGAGTCGGTTCGTCTGGGAACGCACCGGGGGGGGCCTGTGTGGGTGTTGCGACAACAGACTCAAATGGTTCACCGGCTCGGGAGGCTGGTGGGGACACGGCGCGTGATGAGGAAAGCGATTCGGATGCGTCCGAAAAAGGCAGGAAGCTTGAACTGATCTGACGGGACTCAGGTGGCGCAGGGGGCTCGGCGGTCAAGGTCTGCTGGCGACTCATGGTAGGGGACGCAGCAGGAGGTGTGGCCCAAGAGCTGACACTGCCAGTAGATGTTCCGGTGGTTTGCGGCTTGAAAGACGTGATGGGAGGGGGCGGGGTGTCAGTCGACCGGGTGGGAGGCTGCGAAGGGCCAAATATGTCGTCAAACGATTGATCGGCGGCAGAAGACTTGATCGCTGGAGAGGCAAAGGCTCCCATGATGTCAGTACTTCCTGTTCGCTTGAAAAACGGGTTGTTCGCGCTGGCTACAGACGCTGCCGGACTGGCCACAGATGCAGAGCCGGGAAGCGAGGAGCCAGTGTCTTGCCTAGAGAGGGCCTCACTATGGCTCTTGGCGAGATCAGCTGCCTCAGACTGTAGCCTTTCCCGCTCGGCTTCGTTCGTCGAGAGTTGCTTCTTGTTAATGGCAACCAGGCCCTTTTGCTGCCTCGCCTCTGACTTGAGCTTCTCGATTTGAGGCTTGAGCTGGGCGACTTCGGCGTTGACCGCTCTAATCTTCTCCTTAAGTCCGGTATTTTCGTGTCGGTCAGCCTCGAGACTACTCAGTACCTGCTGGTGCTGCGTCTGCAGATCTCGGTACGTCGTGTCGAGCTGCATGCATTCTGCCTGGAGCTTCTGAGTCTCCTTGCGTGCATCGCTGAGTTGCTGTTGTAGAGCCTGCACATCGCCAGCTTCCTTCTCGTAAAGCGTACGCAGCTGTGCAAGGCGCTGCTCAAAGTTCTTTTTTTGTGCGCTGGCTTGATTAAACTCGTTCTGTGAGGCATTTCGCTGCCCTTGAACCTCCTGCATCTGCTTTGACAGAGATCCTACCTGGTTGGATAGATTGGCCAGCTCGGCAGTCTCGCTAGTGAGCTTCTTGCTGATCTCAGGGTCGTTATCGCCCAGGAGATCGTCTGACGCTGCGCCAACCGCTCTGTTGGATCCAATACCAGAGCCAGCCGAGTCGCCAGTGCCATGGACAGTCAGGCCTCGCCCAAAAGAGGACGAAGGGACAAAGGGCTTGAACTGAGTGTTCGCCGGCGACGAGGGCTTTACAGGGGATGATGGGGTCTGTATGCTGGCGCCCGCAGCGAATGGATCAACGGCGTTTGAACCGCCCGTGTTCTGCGCCACCTGGGCTTGCGCAGCTGGCGTAGGGGTCGTGTCCAGACCAAACAAGTCATCCAGAGCGGACTTGGGCGCCGCGACGGGAGGCTGAGCTTGTGGAGGAGGTGCAGGAGCGTCAAAGGGAGAGCCCGTCGCAGCTGCGAGGCGTGTCCGCTGGCGCATGCTTGGTGGGACAAGGTTGGGGGGTAGCGTTGATGGCAATGCTGAAGAGCCATCACGTCTGGTGCGCTGTTGACGAATAAGATACATGGCCACAGCAAAAGTGTCGCGGTTCAGGACGCCTTCCGAATTACAGTCGGCCAGGTCCCAGATCTGTGCCAGGGCATCTTCAGGAAGGCTAGACTGGCTGAGGAAAGGCACTGCCTCTTCTCCCGTGATGTATCCCTTGCGAGTTTTGTCGAGGTCGTCGTAGAGCTGATCAAAGCGCGCTTTGTCGGCTGGCGTGACAAGCCAGTCTGGTCCAGACACCGTTGACGATTGCGCTGTGATGGGCGGACGCCCGAGAGGGCTGCCTGTGCGTATGGGTGCCGAGCCGCTCAGCTGTCGAGGAATGGCGGAGATGTGGCCCGTAGCCGTCGGCGACTGACGTGGAGCGGCCAAACGTCTTGTGGCGGCCTCGTAGAGCGGTGCTGGCAGAATACTGGGAAGACCACGGAGTGCGCCCGATTTCATCGAGGTGAGCAGGTGCATAGCGATGACGAACTCGGTCTGCACAAGAGCCCCTCGTTGCTCAGTGTCGGCCAATTGCCAGATCCGTCCCAGCACCTCGATTGGCAGACCAGCCTTCTCGAAGATGGACTTGGCCTGATCGCCCGGGAGCAGACCCCCGGGCTGCAAAGCCTGACGCTCAAATAACCCGGCATATTGATTGACCTTCTCGGGGGTCAATGCCGGAATTCGAACAGGCCCGCCAGTGCTCTGAGCCTGTAGTGTCGCTGGTGGCGGTGGGGGAGGTGACGAAAGGCCGGGGAGCTGGAAGCCGTCGAAATGGGGCAACGGTCCGGGTTGGGATGCCAGCTCGGTCGTCGGTTCGCGGCCTGCTTGGGCATGGCCGATCAAGCGCAGAACAGCGCTGAAGCCCGCCGGGGTCAGAAAGCCCCTGTTCTCACTGTCGGCTATCTGCCATATCTGTTGCGCAAGCAGTAGTTAGCATCTTCTGCCCAAACAGCACGCACGTGTTTCCAGGTTTTCGCCGGGGCGGGGAAAGGTGAGCAACTAGCCTCTCCTAGGACTTTGGAGTCCAGCCGTGTCTTGTCAAAGAATTTGACAGCAATTTCACCAGTGACCACGCCACACCGTCGGTATCGGCTTGCCTGAACAGCTGACCGAAAACACGCTTCTCCTCGGTAGTGAGATTCAGGTTCGACCGGGCTGCGAGGACATGCACGTTAGAAGACAGATTCAATCACTGACGATTCTGGGGGGGGAAATTGCAACGAACCTGAATCGCCGGCTGCGTCGGCCATGTTTGCGTTTGCTGTGAATTGTGGTCGTTGCAATAAAGGTATGTTTGGGTCGTCGTTCGAGGTGGCTGGATAGCTGGCGTTTGTTTGTTCGCCCCGGCCAACACGAGGCTAGAAGCAAGCGGACTACTAGCGGGATGCCCGCGGATGCTGGAAGTTGCACTGTTTGCACCCAAGGGCGAGGAGCGCAGCTGTCCAGATTGATGGCGGCGCAGCTGATGTGAAGTTGAAAGACGCCTTGAGGAGGCTGGTGTTTACGCAAGTCCACGGGCTGGGGAAGTGAGGTACACACCTCCCGACCCCCCCGTTGGCTGTCGTGGAGGTAGAGACAGGTGGGTACCTGATATTACATAATCTCGACCGGAGCTCCCTATCACAGCCAATCGGCGACACGTCCTGGTGCCTAGTGCTCAGGAAGCTCCCCAAATTGCATCATCTTGCGTGTGTCAATACTGAGCCTGTCGTGATCCTCATGCATGTTTGGCAGTTCTTTGTTTCTGATTAAAAAGAGGTATATGTATTGGCTTGGCCTGTTGTCAATAGCAAGTAAGAAACGTCGCGACCCTTGCTGGTTCATCTCATGCCATGGTCAAGGCTTAATAGCGTCTCATGAGAGATGTGTGCCAACTGAGAAGTACCTTGGACTCTTACCGAAGAATGACTGTTTACTCTACCCGTTCACCAAATGGCACCAATCGCCGAACGGAACACACCTGGGTTGACTAGTACTCGGCCTCGAGACCCTCATCATCGCCAACAGAGTCCGTCGCAACCTCCTCGTAATCGCGCTCCAGAGCAGCGAGATCCTCACGAGCCTCAGAGAACTCGCCCTCCTCCATACCCTCACCGACGTACCAGTGAACGAAGGCACGCTTCGAGTACATGAGGTCAAACTTGTTGGACAGTGCGGCCCAGGCTTCGGCGATGGCCGTCGTGTTCGAAAGCATGCAACTGAATACCCAGGTCAGCAATGCGGTCATTCGGACTTCCAGTGCACGTTGGAGAGGGGCTGGGATGCAACTTACACAGCGCGGCTGACCTTGGCCAGATCACCGTTGGGAACCTTCTCAGGAGCCTGGTAGCAGATACCAAGCTTAAAACCGGTGGGGCACCAGTCGACGAACTGGATGGTCCTCTTCGTCTTCAGCGTGGCAACGGCGGTGTGCGCGTCCTTGGGGACCACGTCACCACGGTACAGAAGGCAGGTTGCCATGTACTTGCCGTGGCGAGGGTCGCACTTGACCATCTGGTTGTTGGGCTCGAAGCAAGACATGGTCATCTCCATGACGGAGTTGGCCTCGTGGGCCGCCTTCGCCGACGAGTGCATGGGAGCGTAGGCAACGAGGGGGAAGTGGATGCGAGGGTAGGGGACCAGGTTGGTCTGGAACTCGTTCAGGTCAACATTGAGCGAGCCGTCGAAGCGGAGGGAGGCGGTGATGGAGGAAACGACTGTGGACCACTATTAGTCTCTGGAGCTGCGGGCCTTCAAATAAGAGGCAACATACCTTGGGCGATGAGACGGTTCAGGTTCTCGTAGTTGGGGCGCTCAAGACCAAGGTTGCGACGGCAAATGTCGTAAATGGCCTCGTTGTCGACCATAAAGGAGCAGTCCGAGTGCTCGAGAGTAGTGTGGGTTGTGAGGATCGAGTTGTATGGCTCGACGACCGAAGTGGCAGTCTGAGGGGCGGGGTAGACGCAGAACTCGAGCTTGCTCTTCTTGCCGTAGTCGACCGACAGACGCTCCATGAGGAGGGCACCAAAGCCGGAACCCGTGCCACCGCCGAAGGAGTGGAAGACGAGGAATCCCTGGAGACCAACACAGTTATCGGCGACGCGGCGGACCTTGTCCAAGACCTGGTCAATCAGCTCCTTGCCAACGGTGTAGTGGCCACGGGCATAGTTGTTCGAGGCGTCCTCCTTGCCGGTAATCATCTGCTCGGGGTGGAAAAGGCCGCGGTAGGCGCCGGTGCGGACCTCGTCGACAACGTTGGGCTCGAGATCGCAGTAGATGGCGCGAGGGACATACTTGCCCTGACCTGCATGGGAGCATACACGTTAGTGACTCCCGTACCGCTGTCAGAGATCGGTGGGCCAGCGCGTACCAGTCTCGGAGAAGAAGGTGCTGAAGCCGTGGTCAGGGTCGGCGGCCTTGCGCTCCTCGGTCAGGAAACCATCGGGCTGTATCACAGGCGAAAGCATCAGTACACATGCCTGAGGGTGGGAGTGGGGGACTCCGCTGAACAGGAGGGCGGGCAATAAAGAAAACATACCTGAATACCATGCTCCAGGCAGTAGAGCTACAGAGTCGCTCGGTTAGTGATCTGGTGCTACTACATCCATGTTGACCGGTCGTGCCATGTGGTTCTGGCGGGGGTGTGGGCTGAGAGCAACGCGTGCTCTCAGACAGTACATACCTCCCAGCACGAGTTGGCAATCTGGCAACCGGCCTGTCCGACTGTGTGAAGGGGCACGTCAGTACGTATTCCTCAAAGATCCCATAGTCCGGGGCGGCAGCTGAACGGGTCCAACGAAGGGGAAGCCCAGAAAAACGCGTAGTGCGAGTGGATGGTAGGAGGGGTCGGGCGTACCGTTGATGCTGATGACTTCACGCATGATGGGCAGTTTCGGTGAGAGCAAAGGGGGTTCGGGTGTATGCGGGTTTCGATTGGCAAGCTCGTGAGTTGGCACTCCAAGGAAGTACACACAGAAAAGGATAGCAACAGCTCCAAGGTGTGTCGTCGGCCGTAGTCTTGAGAACGACTCCGGGCAAAAAAGGAATCGTCGGTAAGGTCAGATAGGGTCGAGGTTGAGGTAGGTTGGGACGAGTGAAGGACGGCAAGACCTGGACGGGGAAAGGTCGAGTCGGGCAGGGGAGGTGGGGGAAATTTGACCGCGACAGGGGTCCGTGCAGGAGTTTTTGTTGATCGTGCTGCCTTAATTGGTAAGCGCGTCTGTGTTGGGGTCCTGGATTGGACGGTCCCCGCCAGCGCCGTGTTGTCCTCCCACGCCAGTCAACCCTCGCATTGAATTGAGCAGCATTTCACCGCTATTCACACTCGGCAGTGCGGGAATCCAAAAAGGTGCCCATCGCATCGACCATGTGGTCTGTCAAACACTTCACGTTTCCGCTGGCCCTGTTGATGGCCGCAGTGTGTGAAGGCAACACGGAGAAGTCCATATTCCTCGCCCCAGCAACAGTCAACATCCCAGCTCACCAGCCCACGCTGGAGGTCCTGGGCCTGGACGTCCTCACCCCCACCAGGTCATCCATAAGGTCGCATCTGAATGCTTCATTCCCCGACGCCGGCTCGGCCGTTGGCTCGGCCACGTGGTTCTTGCTAGACGACCTTAGACCCTCACAACGCTACGAGTTGCGCGTGTGCTGGGCCGCCACGGTTCGTCACGGATGCCTTTTCTTCTCGTGAGAGCTGTTGTTGGACTAACCAGTGGCCCATTCAACGAAGCAACCCACCAACTTCATCTTGGACGTGTACCCCTTGGAAAAGGTTTGGGAAACCCCCGATTTGATCGCCTCACTCGCAAGCTACGTGGAATCTCGCGCGAGTATCGGGACCACCGAACCAGTGGACGCAAGTTCAAACGCTGCAGGTGATAAAACGCGCGGTCGTGGCCGAACGACGTCCGAATCTGAGGCATCTGTAATGTTGCTGCGCGTGCTGGCCGCCGCCGATTACTATTCACACAATGCCGTCGTCATGACTCACGTCGATCCTGTCTTGGTGGACATCATCCTCGATCCGTACCTTGTTAATATTGTACCGCAATCACTAGCGCCGACAGTTGTGTACATGACTCTTGTTGCAGGTCTGGCTTGGGCACTTGCTCAGCGTATCCGCAACCACTTGCTGGTGTTGACCAGCTCGCCAGAGCAGGCTGTGAGGAAGGCCATGTAGGGGATGAAGGCTATAGCTCATGGCTGGGGATGAGCGAAGCCGGTTTGTTATGGTTCTTTTCTATTGCATTTCAAGTGCAGATAACATTTATGAACAAGTCGTCATGTAATTCATGATACAATATCCAGTCTGCTTGCGAACTAAACACGAATCTGACTGAATTGTCGGCTGTCAATAGACAGGTCGTTCTCAATCTGCCCGCAGGCAAAGAAATCCCGGGATCACAGAGTACGGGCTTGCATCAGCCCTGAACTGGCAGCGTGGATCTCAACCATACTTTTCGGCCAAAAAACTGCTGTCAGTATTGAGAGCCGTAACCGTGGCCTTGCTGATTCGGGCCCTGTGAGTAGGTCGAGTTGTTGCCGTGGTAAGCACCAGGCGTGTTACCGCCGTTTCCATACGAAGGCTCGTAGGCACCATTGTTGGCGTGGCCGTATTGTGGTTGTTGTTGTTGTTGTTGCTGTTGTTGATGATGATGACCCCCTTGTGATGGGGCATCATATCCGCTGCTTTGTCCGTAGGCGCCGGGGGGCTTTCCGGAAGGCGGCCCGGGAACCTGTCCGTACGTGGGGTGTGTCTGATGCGCCGAGGCCTGACTCCCGTTTTGACCTGAGGGAGAAGGAAACGAGGGGTTTGGGGCATGGTTGGGCGTCGTTGTCTGATAGGAAGATGCTCCGGGCGCATTTGCACCACCACCGGGCGGTTGGTACGACGTCGGAGGGGCTTGGCCTGAGTAGCCGCCCGAGGCGCTGCCCGAGTTGGAATATCCGTAGCTGCTGCTCTGGAGGAGGTAGCATGTCAGCTGCACGTCCTAGATTGCAAAGATTTGGCGAGAACGTACCCCGTGCGATGGCTTGTTTCCACCGAGCATACTTGCAACACCGCCCATCAAGGAACCAGCCAGGCCATGCTGCTGCTGCTGCGGCTGGTGACCCGTAGTCTGACCGCTGTGGTACGATTGCGGCTGCTCAGGCTTATCACCTGAATGTAAGAAGCTGTTCGCCAGCGCACCGCCGAGTTTGCCAAGTGCATTCTTGCCTGCCCCTCCACCGCCGTGACCCCCACCCCCCAAGAACTGGTTTGCGAGATTGCCGAAAGGATTCGAGCCGGAGCCGCCATGGTTGCCGTTCGCAGTGTGGTTGCTCGAGTCTTTCCCACCCAGCAGGGCGTTCATGGCCATGCTCTGTATGCGCGCAAGGCGAGATCAGTCCCTGTGCCGCGTGGCGCAATCCTGGGAGGTGGGGAGAGCACGACTTACACCAAGGCCGCGGTCGCCAGTCTGTCCGCCAATGCCGCGCGTGCCGTCTGGCGGCATGGGGGGGTTGACCGGCTCCATGGAACCATCGACGTGCCGGACGGTCTGGCTGCCGTCTGGGTGTGTGATCAGTTCCTGCTGCCGCGGGATGCCATAGGGATGCTCGACACCAGGTGCTGGCGTGCCTGTGGGTGCAGCATCCGTCGGCGTGTCCCACTGCGAAACGCCGGTAGACAGCTGAACGAAGTAGTACTTCTTGCTCGCGCCGTCCCACTGCGCGATCCAACCTGGTGGAAGATGAGGAGGGCCAAACGTGGGGCCTTCAGCGCCCGGCGAGGTAGGCCCAGCCATCGGGGAGGGTGGACGTTCTCCGAGGGGTAGAGGTGTCGAGTGCGTCGAGAGCGACAGCGCGCATACAATATTGCGTGGTTTGGGTCTTCAGCGGAGGACGTGGTCGTGGCACCCCGATGTGGTATGTTCGAGGTATCACTGGTAGCGGGAGGTGACGGAGGGGACCAGTAAACGATATAGGCGTTGGTCACCTAGAAAGGCCGTTGCCAGCCCAACTTCTGAGGGGCCATTCGGTGCCGTCTGGAACGTTCACTCTCCTATGAAAGTAAAGGGTATATACCGCCATGCGTCACCCAGGTCCCCATGTGGAATTTCCATTTGGTATCATTTCGGTGTTTAGTACTACCTGAACCTCAAATATATGCTTAGGTAGCTTACCTATCTAATGGAGTGATAGCACCAGGGCGGTCGCCTATTCCTGGTCATGAGCAATGTTTAAGTGCCTAGCGGGTTGCTCCCAAGCCCCCCCCCACACTGATTGTTCCGAGTCTGTCCCATACTAAAAGCGGCGTCGGGAGAGAATTTGGCACTGTACCTACCTACCTTCGAGGCGGTTCAGGAGGCAGCCTGCCGAGGGGTTTTGGCTTGCTAGCAGTGGCTGTGTAACCAGCAACAAGGGCACGTACTCCCCTGTTCCTGACCTAAATGCAGCCAACAATGCAATGCGTCTCCATTCACCGAGAGGCAGTTTCTTTGATCGCCTGGTTTAATTCTCTACACAGCCTGCCGCGCCATATACTAGAACAACAAACGAAAGCGTTTCCAGGAAACATAGCTCAATAGGCAAGCACAAATTCGGCTCACTACATTTCACGTACACGTAGTGCCAGCAGGAAAGTATAACGGAAAAAAAGTCCCTATTTGGTTTGCCAAGGGCTCAACTACTCTAAACTGATGCAATGTGACAAATCAACGCCAAAAAAACTCCATCCGGGTGTGGCTCATGCCATCATCGTTGTGATCGATATGTACGTCAGCCGCTGCTGCTTCAACAAAGACAGTGGAGGAGGACGGCTGTCTGCGGTAGAAGAGTTACGTCGAGAAGGGGAGGTCAAGCCTTCGTCGAGATAGCGAGGAGAGACGAAGCGACGAACTCGGCTACTCGTCCTGATCATGACGAGGGCCTCGCTGATGCTCGTCTCGCAGGATGTGCCAGGCGCCATCTGCATCAACACAGACCAGAGGCCAGAAGCACATCGCTGGAATTGGCTGCCTCCAACACAGTTCCATTGGCCCTCGTTGGCGCAAGCGACGCCTGGCTTTTGAACCCCAGCATTGGTTCCGTTGCCGGCACCCGATCCGGGAGTCGAGGTGGGCTTCGGAGCACTACCCGTGCCGGCCGTGGTCGTGACAGTTGCCAAGGTGGTAGGCTTTGCCGGAGGAGGGGCGGTTCCAGTCTCCGCGGGAGGGGTGATAACAGTCTCCTCTGGTGCCTCGGGGCTGGGCTGAGGGATGAAGACGCCACCAGGGCTATCCGATGTCAGTGAGTGGTCAGGAACAGTAGGCATAGAGGATACATACAGTGTGGTCGAAGTGGTGACGGGGCCAGATCCAGGCTGCTCGGGTGCGGTGGCGGGAGTCGTAGGCACAGGGTTTGCGCTAGTCTTGGACGGAGAGCTCGCGGGAGGAGCACCATCACCAGGGTTCGGGGCGTTGCCCTGGTCAGGAGATGCGCCGGTATCACCGCCGCCGCCGCCGCCAGCAGCGCTACCACAGCTGCCCACAGGCGGCGCAGTCTTTGAGTTGGCCTTGGCAACGCTGGCGCCCGGGTTCGGGAACTCAACGTCAGAGCCTTCAGTGGTGGAGCAGCCGTTTCCGACATTGGCGACGAGGATGTCAGGGCGGCTATTGAACGAGGTGGCCTGGCGCTTAGCACTACCGCCAGCCTTTCGTGGAGACGACGGGACAGTTCATGTACATCTCGCGTTGCCAACCTGGTTGACCCAGGTCCAGGCGAACAGCGCGTCGACGGCAGCCGGAGTGTCGTCGGGACAAAGTGAGTCATAAGTTGAGGTGCCGTCGGGAGGTTCAGCCGCCGACATAGCTCTTGACGACCTTGAACGTCTTGCCACCGTCGAAAGGAGAGGAGGCCCTGGCAGCTACCGCCGTTGTGGTTTGCACCACCCTCGATGGTCAAGTTGTAGGTCTGACCAGCCTGCCAGCTCGCCACGGGAGCGGCGGCGGCAGTGCCGAGGAGGCCCAGAGTACCCTTGCAAGGATAGTCGCTACCTGAGGCGCTGAGAGGCGTGGTCATGCTGTAGTCGATGTCGCTGCCGGCGAAGGGGTTCTTCTTGGACCGGAGCGGGGGAGGCCAAGACATCTCCATGTGGGCGGAGACGGAGTCGAAGGTGAGAGCGGCCAAGAAGGCGGCGTAGAGAGAAGGGGTATACATGATATGCGTGTGTGTTTTGCGTTTCTTCACTTTCTTGTTTGGTGTGTTGCGTGCTTTGCTGTCTGTCTGTTGTGTGTCTGGGAAGAGCAGAGTGTCTGGAAGGACCGAATGTGCAGTTTGTTATATACGTGTCGTCCTATAAGTTGAGCCGGCTCGTGGAACGTGGTGACTGTGTGGAATCGAAACAACAGACAAGACTATTGTTCTTGAACGCAGAGGCTGGGCTGGGTTGGCTAGCTGGCAGCGAACAGGGTACACCTTCCAGAGGTGTTTGCTTTGGTATGCGATGAGGTCAGGCAGTAGCAAAAACCGTGAGGCCTCGTGAGTAAAAAGACTGGAAGGACGAATGTTCCAGAGTGGGCGATATGAAAAGAATCAGAAAGGCTGGGAGAAGGAGTGACCCGAGCCTGGTATGAAGGTGTGGGTTTGCAAAGAAAACCAGCACTTCAAGTGTGAAGTGAATACAAGGCACAATGGAAAGAGGCAAAGGAAGGAATGGAACAGTGAAGCAGTGCAGAACCAGGCGTCGTCGAAATTCCAGTGCGAGGCCAGGCCCCCTTTATTGTTTTGCTGCCTCCCACGAGTCCAGCTCCACGCATGTCCTGTCACAAGCCCAGGGTGGGGGACGCAGAGGGACGCAGCGAGGCCAGGCGCGGCTAGGCGAGCGGGCTCAGCTTGGCAAGGAAGGACCTCTGCCCCTTCCCATCCCTCAAGCCCCTCTCTCTACCGGCCTCCGCTACGATGCGATGCGATGCCGTGTGATGCGATGCGACCCAACCCCGGAGCAGGCGGCAGCAGTGTAGGGCGGCAAGATGAGCGTGGAAGCGGCACGAACGACGGAGAGGCCATCACTCGCACCCTGCACATCGAATCGTCCATCCCATCATGTCTGTGATGATGCGACAGAGACAGGGCCAGAGCCACATGTCGGCCTGGTGATCGGTCCGTTACTGGACGCTGTTTGCTTGTTCATCCAAACACCCACGATATCCATGCCGTGCCCCCCCCCCTTTCTCCTGATGCATGTCCATGCTTCTTCACCTCCTTCTTCTTCCGCCCTCTGGTGACCAGGTCCCCAAATCACCTCGTCGCACTCACAAACAGGCGTCGTGGCCCCATGCACCCCCTCCGCCGAGGCAGAAAAATAAATGACGAGTCGCTTGAAATGGAAGCTGTCGTCGAGGCTGGACCGCGCCAGGAGACGGATAGAGAGGATGGGTGGGGCGAGACAGCACTGCACTGGAATTGTGGGATAACTCACGAATGACATGGCACCACCAGGCATTCGCGCCAACTTCTGAGGCACACGAGTGACCACAGGGGCTGCTGCTTCAGGGGGAACACAGCGCTGCCAGCCAATCGATGGGCCTTCGTGCCTGGAGGGATCGACCACCCTCGAACCCCTGGCGCAGCGATGCACAGCGATACACAGCGACTGGATTCGCCCATTCCAGTCGCTGGTGGCCCAAGTGCCGATGAAACGTCGATCCTCCGAAGTGGTAGCCGCCATGCTGGGCCCCTGTTGCCCCACCGCGTGCCGCGCCCTTGACTAAACGCACAGCACAGCAGCCTACCAGCCCAGCGCAGCCGAGCATGCCTCTCACATTGTCGACGCAAACCTCGATGTACCCTGCCACCACGCGGCTCGTGGCCTGACTTCACGCCTTCTCACGGCTCTGTCGCTGTCTCTGTCTTGGACGCGGTATCCGCCGAGGGGCGCCGCCTTCCCGAGGCATTGAATCTGCATAGCCAGCGGCCTCTCTCCATCTCGTCTCTTAGTCGACCTAGGTCTTGGTGCCCCAGCTGCATCATGGTGAACCATAAGACGACGAGGCATTGGGATCTATTTTTTTTTTCTTTCCATCTCTCCTGATATCAATCGTTCAGAACGTCCAGCCCGTTGGTTGACCCTGCTGCATGTATGCGCCGTGCTTGTTTTTTCGGTGGGAGGGGGGAGATGCCAAGTCCAATGTTATTCTTCTGCCCAGTGCTCATTAACACATCAGGTTTGAGGCCTGAATCCCGCATCCCTGGTGAGGGACATCGGCGTGCGATGTGGCCGAGTCCCGAGGCCTTCGTCTGTACGTGGGGCCCGAGCACTCAAATTCCAAAACGCGCCATTACAGGTGGCGTCCAGCATGTGTCAACGCCACTCACAAAGACACTCACACACCTGCATCCCGTGTCTTGTTACGTCGTTACTCTCGAATTCAAGGAACCACGTAGGTGCCATGGTGTGTGCCATCATGGCTGCGAGCAGGCAAAGAAACTGCATCTTGATTTCTACTCCACGACGCACGCGCTGCTCTGCATGTTGTATTGCCAGCTCGCCCATCTCGCCCACCTGCCACTTTCCACCCTCCGACTGGTAGTCCATCAACCTCATCCTACCCCACGACGAGCTTGCTGTATCCCGGTATGCTGCTTGCTGTGTCAAGAGTGCTCTTGGGAAATTACATGCAGCCTAGAACACCCCCCATGTCGTCGTTTGCTGCCCCGTAGTCAAGTACCAACGGGCGGGTTACTTGGCCTCGGCAGGCCCTTCAGAAGCCCGTGTTTGGGAGTTAGCTGCCGTGCCGTGGCCTTGCGGGTGGCCATGAGCTCCGTTGTTGCCCAGATTCTTGCCACTGCCGTAGTTGCTACCGGCACGATGCTGAGCCCCGTATGCGTGCATTTGTTGTGGGCTGGTACCAAAGTGCGGCGCCCCTGAATTGTTATATCCGCGTGCATTTCCGCCTGGTCGAAGACGTTTGGATTAGCAACTCGTCAAGCCTCAACCTCAACCTCATCTCAGGGGTTGAGCAGGTGGCGCGACCATCTCAGGGGAGTGTCCCTTACCTTGAAGGCCGGGCTGTTGCGGCGCAAAAACAGGTTGCTGGTAGGGAACGCTTGGGCTCATCCCGTAAACTGTCTGACCCTGCTGCGATCCTTGGTGCGCCATCATGGGCGCAGCAGGCCGTCCGGGGCTGGAATATCCATTCGACCCTGGGTGAGGTGGGGGGCCACCGTTAGGGGGCGGGAATTGGGCGTGTCCCCCGTACATCTGCATCGGTTGCCCAGGCAGCATTCCTTGCGGACTCATAAACTGCGGCTGCATGATCATAGGACCACCCATGTGTCCGGGTTGCTGCTGCAGGTACTGGTGGGTGTTGGAAAAGCTTCGATACTGGTTCATCTGCGGCGTACCGGGCCCGCCGTATGGTTGCATCATCGGCTGCGAGTACGGGACTTGAGCGGGCGAATTGACTGCCGGTGTGTACGTGATAGGGACATGGCTCATCCGGGGGCTGGCAAAGGACTGCGCAGAGTTCGAGTGCATCATCCGGTGATCGTCCACGCCATTCGTGTAAGCCCCATGAGGGGCAGGCACATGTTGGTTATGGAGTGGCATTGTAGCCATGTTGGGCGACTGGCGAGGAGCCGTGCCATGTGCATTTTGCTGCATATGCAGCGGCAACTGATAGTGGTGAGCATTATTGGAGGTGACATGTGGAGGCGTTGGTGTAGTCATGGAAGGGGCCGCGAACGACTGTTGTTCCAGGAATTCTTTGTAGGTCAGGCGCATTGTCGATTCCGGCTTCTCGTCCTCCTCCTGGAGTTGGCGCCACGTTGGTATCGTATCATACGAGGGCCTGAGACCTTCGTTATCATCCCAATTACGCACTTTAGGTGGGGTGAAGGTCTTGATGTGGGCAAGGATGAAGCACTTCTGAACATCAATGGCCTTCGTCTTGCGGCGTATCAATTGACCAGCGGGCGCGGGACCAGCGGCGGTGTCAACCGTGGTCGTGTTTACAGCCGCACCTGAGCGAGGGCTCGATCCGGCGCTTGGGTGACTGCTATTGGGGTTGAACGAGGTGGCGAACGGGTTGGGCCGGAACTCATGGCTGTTCGGGTTCAGCTTCGGGCCCATATGGCCGGGGACGCCACTCAATCGTCGGCCGAAGGAAGAATCTCCAGCGCTGTTGGATGGGCCCGTAGGCGGAACCCGAACCTCTGGGGTCACAGGCTGCTGATGAGGCGGAGCCTGCGACATCTTTTGCTGCTCTGTGTTTCGAAGCCTCTGTCCCAGAGATTGGCGGGCTTGCTGGTTAACGTGTTGGCCTTGACGATCATTGCGATAAGACTGGTTATGGTGAGATGGCGGCGCATACGACTGACGCGCATTGGCGTTGCGCACAGAGGGTCCTGAGCCGGGAGAGTTGGCGTACTGCGAGGGCGATGGGCGGCTTCCCGCACGTCCATCAGGAGTGCTCTGTGTAGCACTAGCTGCGGCAGTGGATTTGTTGGATACATCCTTGGCATCCTTGTCCTTGGAAGCAGACTCGACCGTCTTCGTTCGCGCCACGTCCTCCGCATTTTGAAGAGCCTTGGCCTGTATTTCCTTCTGCTTGCTGGGGTCCTTCGCAATGATAGAAATCAGGTCGGTAGGCACAGGGGTCGACAGCTTAAAGCCTTGAGCAAACTTCTTTAACTCGGTCAACTTGACTTCTTTGTCAGCCTTTGCCTTGCTTGTACGAATCTTGTCGGCGTTCTGTCGTTGTTGGGTAGCAAAAGACTTGAAGGAATTGAGAACATCTCGTTCGACTGTCAGAGCAGCGCTCGGCGTGCCCTCCTTTGCCGCCGTTTGAGGTGATTTAGCACGGCTACTCGTAGATGGTGCACGAAGAGGCGTGATCGTCTTGTCTGCTTGCTTGACTTCAGTCTGCTTCGCAGTGTCGGCGGCCGTCGCCGGAGGGCTGTCAGCCCTTGCTGGCTTGGGTGCCTCGCCCTTTGGCGAAGATTTGATAGTCGCCTTGGAATCAACAGACTTCGACTCATCGGCTGGCTGTGTCGTCGATAGCTTCCCAGGTACCGGTTGGCTCTTCGCATCCTCGGGCCTAGCAGGGGATGGTTTCTTGCTAGGAGCGCGAACTTGTGACGAGATGATGGCAGGGTCGACAGGGGCGCCTGTGACAGTTGACTGCGCTGCTGGAGCTCGCTTCGCTGGCGGCATGTAC